GAACAAAGACTTGTTACAAATCTAATTAAAAAATACCAGATCCACAATGTTTATCAGAATGTTCTAGTCACATGGACAGAAGACTTGTTACAGAACACGGCTTCAACAAGAAAAATAACATCATCTCGTACTGATAACAAGTCTATCAGCCTGAGAAACTTATCCTTCCATCATAAAAGAATGTTATTGTGACGCACGAAACATGTATAAATTTATGTACTGTCTCTTTAAGAATCCAGTGTGCTGTGCTGCGTTTCTTCTGACTTCACGCAGGCAGCGGCTCCTTTCTGCAGAAAGAATAAACCTTGCGCTCCGTTTTGAGCTAAAAGAGAAATGTCTCTGGTTTTCTTTTAAGAGTTTTTTTTAAAGTTTAGAACAATTATTTATTTTCCACAGAATACAGCCATTTTTATCTGTCGGGCTTTGGTTCAAGACTCATGGAAAACGTATTCAGAAAGAAAACTAGAGATGCACCGATCGTAGCTTTCTTGGCCACCAAATTTTATAAAACTAACCTGTGAATTTCTAATTTAGTCTTATTTTATTTATCTTAACCAAGTCCCTTGAGATTACCGTCCAGATGGCACACAAATACACAATTAAAAGAAAAACATTTAAGTGAACATCAAAATACATAAACAAGAAAAAAAAGGGGAAAGCTCTACAGCATGGCTATTTTCTCTACCTGTGCATGTGAAATCAACAAACAAGCTGAACAATAATCATCCACTGAACAGAAGTATTGTACGTAGGCCTGTCACGATAACAAATTTTGCTGGGCGATTAATTGTCTCAGAAATTATTGCGATAAACGATAATATTGTTGGAAATGTGACAATGATTAGTAATTATTGTCAAATTTAAGAAGAAATGTTAGTTAAATTTGAGTGTAGTACCTTTTTTTTGACCACTGGATCAATTAAATCAATTAATCGCATGATAAATGAAAATGAGGTCAATAATTTTCATTTATCATGCGATTAATTGATTTATTGTTTATCGCAACAGGCCTAATTGTACGAAATTAAACTCTACAGAAAAGAAACTGCAGTATTTTTTTGTCAAACCATCTCCTTAGCATTCTTTCTCTTTGTACACCTAAAAGCGCTTTAAGGCAGCAGGCAATGACGAAAGGCAACAGAGAAAAGACTCGACTCTGAACGGTGACCCAACAACGACCCGTTCTTTCATTGCAGCAGCAGTTCTTACCCTCTTGCTGCTCGTAAGAAGTCCGGGGGGCAGTGGAAGTCGAAACAGCGAAACCCTCCCAGGACATTAAAGCAGTTCTCTGCAGCAGAGCAGCTATGAGTTCCTGCAGCGCATTCATCGATGTCTAAAGACAAAAACAACGACAGGTAGCAAACATTTATTTGAAAGGTATCGCAGTTTAGTTCCTACATGCAACATCTGTTTCTGTTCACTGCCAACAGTGTGTACGTAGGTACATTTCAGGGTATGTACGATTTACCTTAAACACACTTTCTATCAAACAGTTGAAAAATGTGTTCTACTTTGTTAGTAACATTTTAAATTAAAGCATTCTATGAACGGATATCGCCCACCGCCTTCATGCCAGAGTTTAAGACTAAAATTATTTTATGTCAAGAAAAGGAGTTGTAGCCATTTACTTTTAAATAAAAAAATATATATATTGTCCACAATCCCGTGTGATAGCAAGAGCTCTTGAGCAAGTTATTAATTTAGCCTTTATTCGCTTCAAATACACAAAATTTTAGCTCAATATTTTTAAAACTTATCGAGTTATAGCAAATATTGAGCTGGCAAAGGATGATTACTAGTGACAGCCATCTTGAATTTGTCTGACTCCAAAAGCTAAGAGTTGTAGATGAACGTCCAGTGGCTACTTTATGTCTAATTGTTCATGAGATATTTTGCTAACAGACGAACAGGGTTGACCCAAACATTTAATACCAAAGCTTTACACAAAGATCTTTTGCAATGTAGCACTTGGAGAATGTGTGGTTGAACACTTTCAGCTACTACCACACCAAATAGTATAAAATCTGCTAAATTAAGAAAATAAACAATATTTAATAAAATAAAACAATCAACTTATTGTTCCATGATGTTTACACTATTTCAACAAATCCTATATCAAAACGTTCAGCTCATAAAGGAGATGACTTTTGGTATCGGTGCAACTTTAGCTATTTGAAATATTTAGCCTTTTCTGCCATTTTTTTCCTCATAGAAAATGAACTGAGCTCATTTTACATCCATCAGATCTTTAGATGTGTTCACAACCTTTTAATGCTCCTTTCACATTTTGTTCTGCTTCAGCTTCTTTCTGCAAATTCAAACTTTTTCAGCTACTTTCAGCTGTTTTTTCCAGCTGGTTTGTGCTTCTTTTACATTCTTTCCTCTAACTACCGGTAAAACATTTTTGTGCTTCTTCTAACTTGTTTCTGCTAATTTCAGCTTGTTATGTTCCTGTAAGCTTATTTCTGCAAGTTTCAGCTTTTTCTATTTCAGCTACTACTGAGCTGTTTTTATGCTGATTTGAGCTTTTTCAGCTAATTCCACACTTGTTGCACTCATTTAAACTTTTACAGCTTAATTCAGCAAATATGTGCTCTCTCCACTTCCTTCTGATAGTTTAAGCTTCTCTCTGCTATTTTAGCTACTTTTCAGCTGGTTTTTTTTTCTTTCAAATCTCAGCTATTTTCAGATAAGTTCCACTTTTTTGTGCTCATTTCTGCTTCTTTCAGCCTACGTGGGCAAACATGCTCTTTCTGATTTCTTCTGCTAATTGAAGCTTTTCTACCCTTTCAGCTAACTTTTTAGCATTTTTTTTAGCTACTGGTAAGCTGTTTTCAAATAAGTTCAAGTTTTTTGTAGTAATTTCTGCTACTTTCAGCCTAATTAACTTCTTTATGCCAATTTCAGTTTGTTGTGCTCTTTTCAGCTTTTTATGCTATTTCAGCTACTATTCAGCTGTTTTAGGCTAATTTAATCTTTTTCAGCTAATTCCATACTTTTTAGCTAGTTTCAGCTCTTTCTTCTTCCTTCTGGTAGTTTAGGCTTCTTTCTGCTTTTTCAGCTATTTTTTAGCTATTTCTTGCAAATTTCAGCCTTTTTTTTAAGCTAATTTGCTCATTTTTGTGTTAATTTCTGCTTATTTAAACCTAATTCAGCAAATATGTGTTCTTTCTGCTTTCTTCTGCTAAGTTAAGCTTGTTCTTTCATTTCAGCTAGATTTCAGCTGTTTTTAGCTAATTTCAGCAAGTTCTTCAGCAGTAAGCATTCACACTGGACTTTCGCAGGAAATGCAATTTCTCTAGTTTATTTTGCATCATAAACAACTTTTGCTTAAGAGGGATTTTTTTCTGTAAATATAAATGTTTGTCCCCTAACCTTGACAGGTCCATCCATCCTGGGCGAGCATGTAGCCGCTGGGCGGGCAGGTACAGTTGAAACCACCGGGAGTGTTGACGCACTTGTAGGAACAGACATTCGGCTTTGCGCACTCATCAATATCTGACGAGAGCAGAAAAAAAGGTCACATCAGAATCGTGGTCATATACCTAGCAAACATAAATACAAAAAGCTGATTTTAAAGCTTTTAGGACATTTTTTATCAACAAAGCTAGTACCGTCACATGTTCTCCCATCAATGTCACTAAGCTGGTAACCACGGCGACAGAAGCACTGGTATGACCCGTACACATTGGTACACTCCTGGCTGCAGGGTTTGCGTTCACATTCATCGATGTCTGCGCGCAAGTAAAACCAATACGTTTCTTCTTTGTAATTTTCAAGACCGTTTGAGGATTTCTAAAACAAATTGTCATTTTAAAGCCAGTTCACCTTCACAGTTTCTGCCATCGTGAGCCAGTTTGAAGCCCAGGGAGCAGCTGCACTGAAAAGACCCCATGGTGTTCTCACAGTTATGGGCACACAATCGCCCAGGATAATGCATGCACTCGTTAATGTCTAAAACAAAAGCACAAGAGAACAAATATTGAATAAAAACACACATAAATAAAAATGCTGGCAAATGTTTTTTATTCTCTTTGGCAGATTATTCGTTCTGCACCTTGGCACAGCTTGCTGTTGGTGTTAAATGAGTATCCAGTTGTGCACTCGCACCGATACGTTCCCTCCAGATTGACACAGATGTGGTTTCCACACTTTTTACCAATAAGACACTCGTCCACATCTAAACGGTAAGACAGAGAAATAGATGAAAACCAGAAAAATAGGGACGAAAATATGAAAAATCAACGCTTATTATTATTATTATCTACAACTGGCAATAGGTGAGAAGTGGGTGATATTTTCTTTTTGCCTATGACTGCGCATGTTAGCAAAATATATCATGCCTCTGAACGGATTTAATCAAAACCCTCAAAGTAAATCATTACCACAAAAACACAAGGATGACACCTACTGGTCAAATTTAATTCCTGCAAGTAAAGCTGCGAAATTAATCAAATATTTTCTCTGATATCTGTGACAAAAAGCTAAATCCAGCCCTTCCAGGAGTCCACCTTTAAGAGATTTAAATTTTATCTGTATAACCTTCACAGCTGGATCCATTAGCAGATAGACGGTATCCCCGCGGACAGGTCATGGTGTTGCTGTGACACTTGTACGAGCCCACAGTGTTGACGCAGGTCTGGTCCCGTCGGCACGGACTGGGGGAGGCCGCGCACTCGTTAATATCTAATGAGAGACAAAAACACCTCAGCCGAAGAACATCTTCAAGCTGTGAAACTTGAACGAGACGGCTTCAAATCTAGGAAAGATCATAAATGTTAGTTTTTTTAGTCTAACTGGGAATGCTGAGTCAGGATTCGCAATTTTGTTTTCCTGTTTTTTCAATTCAGTTCAATTCAATTCAAAAAGACTTTATTAATCCCAAAGGGAAATTAATTGTTGTAGCTCATCTTAGTTTCATTAGAGTCGTTTTAGACGCTGATGGCTTTTGGCATTTGGGCAACTGGCTGCAGATGCCGATCCTTCCATCCAGACCCAGCAGACCTCTCGGTCTTCTTGGGCAGCAGGACAGCCTGAATGCTGGGTAGAACTCCTCCCCGAGCGATGGCCATTTCTCCCAACAGCCTGCCGAGCCCCTCGTCGCCGCAGACTTAACAGCAGGTGCCAGGGGACAACCTCGGTCCTCCCGCTGTCACGAGTCGCGTTTCCCGCCACCTCCAAGATATCGGCGATCAGGCACTTGAGCACAGCCTCCAGGTAGACGGCAATGCATCCACGGCACCTCTTTTTCAACTCATTTGGGATTTGGGGCTGTAGTTGAGGTCTTATTTGAGCTTTTGAGATGTTAATCAGCAGCTCCCAGTTGTAGACAACCACCTTGTTGTCATGGTTACACATCATAACAAATGTCCAAAAGTAAAAAAGGTTTCAGTAAAAATCCTTCCAGCGGTACAGCATCTGATACTAGAGGAAGTAATCATCTGAAAGAAGCTATTTACATCCAGAAAAAAAGAGTAATTGAGTGTTTTTTTGTTTGTTTGTTTGTTTATGGTTTATTCTGTATGTTCTCTACATCAATTACCCTTTTTCTGTTTTGAGCATTTACATTTTAAAACTTTCAGCTGAATTGGAAATGGTGTGCTATGACTTTTGATATCTTTTTTTAATGTTATACTTTAAAAATATTTATATTTATTTAAAAAAAGTTGACCATTATATATTGAAATGTCTTCAACTCTTATTTAGAAATTATTTTTCTTTAAAATTTTCTTCAGCAAACTTAATCCATTTAGCTTTTAGCTATGATTTTGACAATGCCCCCTTTTTTAGCTACTGTTTGTCTATTCTAGATTGAAGCTACTCTTTTACAAACATGTTTTATTTTATTTTTTCACCAATTTTATGTTTACTCAACTGTTCAGCTAATTTATACTTAGTGCTATATGCTAATTTTAGCTTTTCACTCTTCTGATTTTTTAATAGGTTTTTTTTTAGCTAGGCTTTTCCTGTTATCTTAAGAGATTTCCCTAATTTAGTTTTTAACTACTGCTTTGCTAGTTTTAGCTTTTAGCTACTGTATTAGTACTGCTTTACTGGTTTTAGCTTTTTTATTACTTCTATGCAGGTTAACGCTTTTTGCTCTTGCCCTGCTAATTTTAGCCTTTCACTATTTGGCTAATAATAATATTGTTTTGCTCATTTTAATTATTAGATACTGTATTGATACTGTTATGTTAGTTTTAGCTTTCAACCTTGTATCTACATTTTATATATTTTAGCTTTTACCTACATTTCTGGTATTTTAACTTTTAAGTAGTTTTTTTATTTCGCTTTGGGCTACTGTTTTATTAGTTTTATCTTTTTACTACTGATTCGCTAGTTTTAGCTTTTAATTAGTTTTTCTAATTGTAGTTTTTTGCTAGGCTTTTCCCGATTTTAGCTATTAGCTACTAATTCAGCTTTTACCTGCAGTTTTGCAAATTTTAGTTTTCAGCTGCTGTATAACAACTGTTAAGCTGATTTTAGCTGCCATTTTGCTAATTTAACCTTTTAGTAATACTGTCGCATTTAGTTACATTTTAGGTTTCAGCTAGTTGTATTTTTAATTTTAGCTATAGGCCACTGTTTTATCTCTTTGTTACCATTCTGCTAATTTTAGTTTTCAGCTATTACTACTGTTGTTTCAGCTTTTAGCTGTTGTTTTGCTATTTAAACCTTTGAGCTTTACTTTTATTAAGCTTTTAGCTACATTTTGTTTTGCTTTTGCTAGTTTAAGCTTTTTGCTACTGTTCTGATAATTTTATCTTAATGGTCAATGTTTTTTACTGTTGTACATTTTAGCTCGTGTTTCATCATTTAAGCATCCTGATTGTTTTACCATCCACAACTCAGTTTCAGCTCCAACAGTTTCAGTGAAGTCATTCATTTACGCTTCATTTTCACAGAAAATGCTAATTTTTCTAATTATGTTAAGCTCTTTAGTTCAATGTTTTCTTGCCCTGCCGTACAAACACCACCACCTCACTGTGATAGATTTTCTTCACGTGCTCCTCAGTCTTTACCGTTGCAGATAACGTCGTCTGTGAGCGTGAATCCAGAGTGACAGCTGATCCGACAGCGAAAGGAGCCCTCGGTATTGATGCAAACTTGCTCAGAGGAGCAGTTGTGACTCTCAGCCAAACATTCATCGACATCTGAGAAGACGAGCATGTGGCCAAATGCAACATTAGACAAGTTAAATCATTTCTTCTGTGCAAGCCGTCCCAGTGGAATCATCAGAGCAGCCCTGAGACCGCATACCTTTCAGAATATGCAACTGTGTTAATAAATTTGGGGAAATAAGGAACTGTAATGACTAAACTTACCCACACAGTTCACTCTGTCATTTTTCAGAGAAAACCCTTTGTAGCAGGCGCATTTTCCATTACCCACACACAACTGAGCACAGCCGGTGTCTAAAAGTGATAAAAAGAGACATACAAATAACAAAAACTAAAGCAAAATGCATCATTTTCTTCCCAAAAGGAGGCAAAGGAGACGTAATATGCTAATAGGGAACAAAACTAACAGCAAGCTGAGCTTGGAGCTGCTTTTATTTGACGCTACTAATAAAACAATTGAAGCCAAACCTGCACACGTGTTTGTTTCCTCTGGAAGTCTGGTAGAAAAAACTTGAGGCACTTTTGTTGCTGAGACACACACACAAAAAAAAAAACATTGTAAAACCACTGGAAGCACATTTTTGTGAGTCAAAATTTGGTAATAAAAGCATGGAAACTGCTTAAAATATGTTGTTAAATTGATTTTCAGAGGTTCAGCCCCTAATGTGGTTGAATGTTTTAGGTGCTAATAATTGTACAGAAGGCTTGAAGCCTAATACTGCTTCAGTTTTTTACCTTGCACAGTTGATTTGACTTCCTTGGGTTGCTCGCAGCACATTTTAGCTGTACTGATGCACTGCTTCCCCAGCTGCAGACCCTGAAACTTGCAGCTCAGCTCCGTGTTTGCCACCTTCACACCAAGCGTGCAGCAATCACAACAAAACTAAACGGGAATGGAAATGAGGGCATTTAGAAGAGAAAAAACAAGTATTTTCCAGTGGATACAGCTCCGGTTGATAGTTTGGAGAAGAGCCCACCTTAGTGGTTTGGGTTTCCCAGGAGGATCTGGTGGAGAAGGGCCTCTCGCAGGCCCTCTGATCACGGGCCATCCTGATGCCCCGGTTACAGGCTTTCTCTTTCAGCACTGAGCGACAGCAGTGCTCCTGGGTGATGCTGCAAATAAAAAGCACATTTGCCCAAAGTTCAAGTTTAGTATCATCTGCCTGCGTTGTGTGGGCACAGATGATTTATCCATTCACTAACCCATCCAACCATCCATCCATTCATCCATCCATCTTCTGCTTGTTTTGAAGTCAGGTATCAGGGGCAGCAGCTTGAGCAGGGAGGTCCAGACATCTCTCTCCACAGCCACCTCCTCCAGCTCTTATGGGAGGACCCCCAGACCAACCGAGAGACGTAGTCCCTCCAGCGTGTTCTGGGTCTTCCCCAGGGTCTCCTCCCAGTCGGACATGCCTAAAGCACCTCCCTAGGGAGGCACCCAGGAAGGATCCTTATCAAATGAACCACCTCAACTGGCTCTTTTCGATGTGGAGGAGCAGCGGTTCTACTCCATGTCACTCCCAGATAACTGAACTTCTTACCTTATCTCTAAGGGAGAGTCCAGCTACCCTGCGGAGGGAACTCATTTCAACTGCCTGTATCCACAATCTCGTTCCTTCAGTCACTACCCAGAGTTCGCGACCATAGGTGAGGGTAGGAACGTAGGCCGACCAGTAAACAGAGAGCTATGCCTTACAGCTCAGCTCCCTCCTCACCACAACGGACCGGCACAGAGTCCGCAATACTGCAGACGCTGCACCAATCCGTCTATCCATCTCACGCTCCATTCTTCCCTCACTCATGAACAAAACCGTGAGAAAGTTGAACTCCTCCACCTGAGGCAGAACCTCACCTTTGACCCAAAGAGCGCAATCCACCCTTCTCTGACTGAAGACCATGTAGGATTTAGCATTAGCAAAATACCTCAAGAACCACTGGACTGACTTTAGTGAATCTTCCATTAAGTATTTAGTGGCTGTGCATCTCCAACTCACGAACATTCAACAGGTCCAGATGATTTTCAGGGTTAAACAATCTTGGCCCACACAAGTTTAACAGACATGGAGCTAAATAAAGGTAAGCAATTTTAATATTCTGTTGGCGCTCAGAATAAGAGTTGGGGAGCAGTCTCAGCTACTCCCACACCCCATTTCAGCTCAGCATGTGTAAACCTGATAGTGTTTTTTTAAGGACAGATGGCCACTGCAGCCATCTTCACTAAGGTTGACCTGTTGTGCAGCCACTGCTTACTCTCAGTAAAATCGGATTATTGTTTCACGAGATATTCTGCTAACAGACGCTAACATTGACATTGTAAGGGGAGATAACGAGCAAGTCTAAGCCAAGAAGCTGTAGGAACCAGGCGTTGCTTACTTGCAGATGAGGGAGTTGAACCGCGGAAGGACTGAACAGTCTTGTTCTCGCTCTGCTACGGTTCTCCCAACCTGACAGCACTCGTGCACAGAAGGAATCGGACTCTCTGCGGGGTTAGGGTACGTTAAAACAAATATATAATTAACCAATAAACGTTTCAGACTTTAAATGAATGTTCTTACCTAGCCCGTTCAGAAGCCCAAAGAGAGAAAACAGAAGAACAGTCCTCCGCGCCATCGGGTTGAACTTAAATTTGGCGATTTCCTCAAGACGGTGGAAGCTGCCGGGAAGCAGAACGTCTCAAAAGAAGCAGAGGTGACCCACATCTGTCCCAGTGAGGTTTAAGGTTTGGGGGTGGGTTGGGTGGGAGGGGTCAGGGCGAGCTTCGATGATTAAAACACAGCTGATAGTGGGGTTTATTCAAAGGCAGCACGGTGCTAAAGTACAAACTGTCTTCTTCAAGATAACGGGAAACGGTCTCAACAGTACATCTCTGTTTATTTCAGGGAGAGACTTAACTTCTAAATGACCTGCATTGATAATTTATTATTCTGAAAGATGAAATAATCTAAATCTGCACGACTATCTATATTCAGACGCATCAAAAAAGAAATAAACAATGAAATACGGATTAGTCAGCCAAGAGCAAGTCAGATGCAGCATGTAATCTTGTTTATTACAAACTTTGCAAAATCAAGAACCGTCCTTTTTTTTTTTTAGTTCATTGTCAAGTTTCTCATTTCACCATGTCCTATCCTACGCATCTTCAGCAATAAAATGACAACAGTGAACAATTTATTTAAAACTACGCTCGATCGCTGCACATTAATCAAAACGTTCGCCGCTTTGCTTCGTTGTTCCAACGCTACCAAAACGTGTGCAATCCCCAACATCTAATCGCGACGCAAAACGCAAGGACAAGCTGGAAAACAGGAGCCGATTATGACGTCTCTGCATTATCTTATCGACAACAGTCCGGTGAATCGAAGATGGTTCCTGTTGTGATAAAAACAAGGCTTTTTTTGTGATAAAGCTGTGTTAGGGGTTAAATTTGCAGCACAGATTTGAGTCAAATAACCAAGAAGCACACTTTTAAAACACTTCCAATTTGTTCAACATCTATAGTACTTGGCGGCCATGTTTCTGCCGACATATTAGGACTATTGTAAATTTAAAAAGGAGGAAAGAAGCTGGTGGGCGGGGCTAAAGTCTAAGAGAAATCACATTTCTCTCATGCAAAACATTGGACAATGTGGAAAATGTGGAAAAAAACAGTTCAAATGACTGCCTCTCTGATGGTATGGGGGCGCATTAGCGCCTCTAGCATGAGCAGCTTACACGTGTAGAAAGGCACAACGCAGAAACACGTCAACAGATTTTAGAACGTTTGCTCGATTCATTGCGTTCAGTTTTTATTTACATTTTACACTGTGTCCAGTTTTTCAGAATTCAGGTTAATAATTATTAAAAACCTTGGATATTCTCTTATGTTGGAAAGTTAAAAAAATACCAATTACATAAAATTTCCATGAATTCACACGACTAAAACAGTTTTCTGATAATGTCAAGTTTTAAGTTTGTGTAAAATAAAATAAAACTTGCAGGATTAACGTCCTGAATCCACCAGAAAAAGTCAAGACGTTCAACGACTGTCGCAAATAAAGGAAAGGATTTTTATGAAATTATTGACTATTTGCTAAACTGAAACTATTTGCTAAAGTGAAATCAGGCTATTCTCCAAGATGTGCTACATTTACAGGAAAAAACGGATAAATGTATTAAACAATGGGAGAGTAGACTCCACACATATGGTCCAACATGGCTATCAAGCTGTTTCTGTTAAATATATGACATCAATGTCGAAATTTCTGAGACTTTTATCTGAACTTTGTCCCACCCACCAGTTCTTTTTCGTATTTACAACGACCCTAATATGTCTTTGTACATATTTGATGAATTTAATACTCTAAATAAAAAGAAACAAATACCATTGTAATAAAATGCAAAGGTTATGCGAGTTAAAATGTCAAAACAAAATGGCTTATTCCATGCATTTCAAATCCAAGAAGAATCTGCGCTTTCAAGGGATGAAACTATGTACAAAGCAAGGTAATCCATAACTTATACATGATCAATGCAGAATGTTTTACAGTCGTCACCTGAAATAAAAACACAAAGACTTCCTTTGTTGTGCATTTACAGAATAACTGCTACTCAAGTGTTCATGTAGCTCTGATTCGTTTGAACATGAAAACTCTGATTGCAGCTAATGTGAGCCCACGTCTGTGGAAGACTAACCATCCATTTTGTCTCCGATCTGCTCCGTTTATCCAGACTCCTCTGGGGCTGCGGGGCCCGACTTCTCCAAAGAGTCAAGAGGGTCCACGGTTTTGTCTGCAGGGAGCTGAGGGCTCTCGTCTGTTAAAGAGCTAGACGCTACTCCATCTTTAGCTTCACTATCGTCGCAGTTTTCCACCTGAGTCGTCTCACCTGGAGTTTCCTCCTCTGCAGGAGGCCTACCGGTACCTCCCTCTGCATTAGCTACAACCTCGCTCGTCTCCTCACTTGTTTCAGCCTTCACCGGGTCTGACATCTCGCTCTCGGCTGGAGCTTCTTCTGCTTCTGCTTCCACGGTAGCGTTTCCCTTTTCTGGAGGACTTGACGACTTTTTGTCTTCAGCGGGAGCCGCGTTTCCCTCCGTCGCTTGTTCCTCTTCTTCTTCAATCTCGTCCTCTAACGGGGGAATCATCTGCTCCTCCCTCCCTCCGGGAAAGACTCTGTCTGGGTAGACGAGTTTCAGCTGCTCCTCAAAGTAGTCCTCCAGGTACAACCCGGCACTCCCCACCTCAGAAGTTGACTGAAAACATCGGCCATTTTAGACAAATCATTCAGCTGGCGACTCAGGACATTAAAATAAAACTTAAGATGTTTTCTCTGTATTTTTAATTTTTCAAAAAGCAGAGCTGATAATAAACACCAACCTTGTAGTACTTTGCACAGTTGAAAAATACGAGCCTGACGTCATCAACAAACCCCTCAGGACCGACGTAACTTTCACCCTCCTTTTTGGCTTCCAGCGTCTTTTTCACGATTGATAAATCCATCGGCGTCTTAATTAGCTCTTTGTACTTTCGGGTTTCCTACGATAAAAAGCAAAAGTAGCTTACACAGAATACCAGTTGAGATATAATAAACGAAAAACAACAAAATGTTACCTTAATTGTGATTTAAAAGATCAAAAAATAATAAAATGTGAAACGAATAAATGTAACTTCTTCTTGTATCGTAAAATAAATGTTTTAGCATTCATTTTTTGAGCATTTTTAAAACGTTCCTCTCAATGAAATCAGGGTTGAGCAATAAGGTTGAAATTTTTCCATCAGACATTGTCAATCCAGTGGCGCATGTTTTCACTCTGATGCGTTTGAGCAGGTAATATCACGTTTTGGGATTATATTGTTTTAAACCAAAGAGACACTCTAAACAAGTTTGACAAGAAGTGTAGCAGATCTGTGCAACCAGCTCCGAGCTCATATTAGGAACTACAAGTGCAGGACGACCTGTTCTCTGTTAAACGTCATAAAAATTAGACCATCAAAAAGCGTATTTAAACCAAGTCTTTTTATGATTTGAGACCATTTTTCAAATTTAAAACCATTTAGAAGTTATTTGAAACCCACTGTAGTGACGATTGTTTTTTTCCCTTGGTTCCTTAGAAAGGTGCGTTTGAAGTTCAAGTAGGTTTATTGTCATTTCACCACATGGTACATGAGGTGGAACAAAATTATGTACCAGTTACACCCAATAATAGCAAAAAAAGTGCAAAAAGACACAGTAAATAAGGATATTAGGTATATGCTAAACACTAATAATGAAAAACGATACAGCGTAACAACAGCAGCCCCAGTCTATCTATGTAGATAAGACTGTGACCCATTTTTCAAAAACAAATATTTGTGTATCGTGTCAGGGTGAAGAGTCTGCAGGCCAGACCGACATCTGACAGAAGCTTAGATGTTCTGCTGCTGGAAACGAGTTGAACCGCAAACAATCAAGGTGCACTTTAATGTGTCCAAGTTTGAATATATTCATAGGTCAAACATCTTGAGAAGGAAAATTTACTTGGCAAAATAATCTGAATGGACTGATGTATTTGTCCAATTACAAAACAAAACCCAATATTTGACCACAGTGAGTTACCGATGGAGATGCAGGCTGCTGGAAGTCAGTGCTGAAGTCATTACAGAACAGGCGTAGGAGCAATCTCTCACACTTCTAGATACAAAAGAAGATAAAAAAACAATAATGAGATATTCAGCTTGTGGTTTAAGTGAGAGGTCATTTTGAGCTATGTCGTGAAATCCCCAAACACAGAGAAAAAAAATGTTGTTGTACCCTTCTATCAACAGCTGGGAACTTTTCTGAGTCCGGGCCGTCCCGTTTGTCACAGTCGTACTCCATCTCAGGGGAGTCCAGGTCTCGGCAGAACGAGCAGAACCACTCGCCGCTGTGAAGACACACGGGGAAAAATCTGAGCATTTACGTTTAAAGTACCGTATTTTCCAGCCTATAAGTCGCAGTTTTTTGCATAATTTAGGCACTGATGTGACTTATTTACGTTTTTTTCCACATTATTAGACATACTTGGACAGATGCGACTTATAAGGCGGTGCGACGTGTACACCGATAAATACGGTAAGTGGGTTTTTTTTTATCTTTAAACGGTACTGAGGTCTGTCTCTCACCTAGGGGACTCATTCAGAGTGGGAATGTGGCAGGCCAAATGGAAAACTTTGGGACACTTGTCACAGCACAGCAGCTCTCCTCCGTTCTGACAGACGGCACACCAGTCATCGTTAGGGTCCTCTTCATGTTCCGTTTTCTTTTCAGACTCGTGCTTTGACTGGGTCTGAGGACAAGAGCTTTTGGAGTCTGAGGCAGGGACTGTGGCCGCAGAAAGACCTTTCTGCTGCTGCCTAGGCTTGGACTGAGCGCCGGTGCTGCTGTCAGGCAGGCTCGACCCGACACTGGACTGCACCTGCAGGCAGCAAAAATACAACTTTTAGATAATTAGATAGAAAACGGTTGATGAAAAGTGGTTTGATTTTACCTTCGAAATTCTATTTTAAAATGTGAATTAAGCATTACATTTATTTTTACAGACTTAATTTTCTTTTTTGTTGCATTTGAAACAAAATGACAATCACAACAATCCAACATGTCTACAGCGCTTTAGATTTATGCAAATCAAAGTAGATTTCTTACAAAGCGAACTTCATCATCATCCTCTGGTTCGTCCTTGATGACAATAATGGGCCCCGGGGATGCCCGCCTTCGCCGTTTAGAGGCAGGTGCTGACAGCGGCTCAGAAGTCTGCTTCCAGGAACTTAACCTTCAACGCACATATAAATCAGGATTAAAAAAATAAATAAAACCGGCCAAAACTGAAGGCTTAAAAAAACTTAAATAGATTTAGATTCTCAGATGTTTGGATTATTGTTTAGTTAGATAAATAAGGATTTAAAAAAGGCTGAAAATCATCAACAAAATGTTGAAGTTATACCACGTTGTCTAAGAATTTACTTAACGGAAACATATCAAAATAATGATTGTCCAAGCACGCAACCCTGTGGAACTCCATGACTAACTCTAGTTTGTGCAAATTAGAATCTATCAGAGAAAAATGACTTAAACCCACGTAGTGCTGTCCTTTAAATCTCAATAACATGTTTAAACCTTCGTGTTAGACTAGTGTGATTGACTGACTCATGGCTAATGTCCACATGAAAGTATCAATAGCAACTTTACCTAATTCTGTTTCTGTATGATGAGCTCTAAATCCTGTCTGAGGTTATTTAAACAGAATAATTCAGTGTAACTGCTCACACAGCTAATTAGAAACTATATATTTTAAGTTTAAATGTGAAAGGAATGTTCATTAAAGGAATGGGTGTTGTCTGCTGCCTTGCAAGTTAAAGTTTTAAACAAAGACGTAGCATGATGTGCGTGCACTCCAAGTATCTGTTGGACATAACTCTCAGCTACTTCCACCCCAAATTTTAGCTCATAATTTCGTTATAGCTAAGTTATAGCTAATTTTATGTTCATGTACATTTTATGTACATTCAACAAAAAAAAACAAAAAAAACTGTAGAAACGTTTCGTCTTTCATCCGAAAGACTTCCTCAGTCTGAGGTGCTGTATTCAGCTCAGTCTTATAAATAGCACCTTCTCAGAGTGGATCAACCAGCTTGCTGCAGTTTTTTTGAATGTCCAGATGACCAGATTTAACTTTTTTGGATTTTTCTACCTGAATTATTGAGCATGCATCAGGACATCAACTAACTATAGCTGCCATATTGTAGATTAATTTCACTCAAATCTGTCCAGTGGCTAATAAGATGTTTTGCTAACAGACAGATGAAAAAAGGCACACCAGCAAACACTTGATCTACTAAAAAAATGATACACTGCCGGTCTTTAACTGGACTCATCAGCAGATTCTCAAGTTAGTAAAGCCTCAAACTTTGACGCCAACAGGAATTGTCAACGTGGAGCAGAAACTGGACTTTGATGAACAACTTCTCACCCTGTGCTCCTGTCCGAAGAGGACGGCTTCGCCATAGGGGAGTTCTGGCTTCCGTGAGCTGAAAGTAACAAAGCGAGACCTTAAAGTCAAAAGCTCTCTATTGATACAGGAAAGCTTAGATGAAAGCACCGACCTGTCAAATGACCCAGTGCACTTTTATCTGCAGCTGCTGAGGCCAGATTCAGTCCCAAGCTGGGTTTGGGAACAGAGATGTTGATGGTGGAGACGGATCCGCCAACTTCACTCCTCTTTAGAAAGGAGGACTCGGGTATAAATCTCTTAAGATGAAAACAAAACATATAGAAACAGACTTGAGCATCACAAACGCACAAACTATGTCAGATCTTTACGATGCCAACCTGCTGCAGTGAAGTCTGTGTGGTTGCTCCGGTTGTCAAAGGCTGCGGGTAGCGAGAAATGCCCTGCGACACGTCAATGGGTTTAGGGGGGAAAGCGGAACTGTGGATCAGCTCTCTGAGAGTCTAGTTGTAGAAGACGAGACGTAAGCGCATTAGTCAATATGTTTCATTATCTATTAAAACCAAAAGTACATTATTACATAAAGAACTTTTTAAGACGCTTGGATCCGTCCAAAGCCTTTAACTTACATGTGACGCTGTGAAGCTTGGGTTTGGAAGCATGTTCGGAGGGGGGCTTCTCGGGTTGGAATGGATGTTCCCAAATCTGCGCCCGGGCTGCGTCATGCTGGGGGAACCTTGGGATGGCGAAGAACCTCCATGGATGGGTCTGGTTGGCGGCGGTGGTCCAGCAGGTCCAGGGAGTCGGACGTTTTGGTACCAGGACCAGTGGTTAGGAGCAGACTGTCTGTGAGGCTGATGGGAAAGCTTGTCAACCTTGGGCAAATGAATTGTTCCACAGGTTACCTTTTTATGTAACACTACTTTAATCCATGCGTTCTAGAAAAGATTTTAAATATGAAGTACTTTAGTTCTTCTGAGATAACGTAAGTGTGTATTTTTACCTGCATCTGTAGCTGAGCCAGAGTACTCTGTCGCTGCTGCTGTTGTTGCTGTGAGGAGACAGAAAGACCCCCAGTTGGAACCTCTGGTCTGGGAGCGACAGGGTGGTTGGTGATGGACGGCCTCCCCGGGCATCTTTCTACAACCAGTGACCCTACGAAAAACAAACAAAAATGTAAATGTAAATACTTTAACACCTAAAAAAGGTGGAATAGTTGGTCTGTATTATATACAGCCCCTATAATTAGGCAGTGTCAGAAGAACTTCACTTTGTCGTGTGCACAAAAAAACAAGTTCATAAAAAGTTTTAAACTTTCACGAATCGGTCAGGAAAAGAAGAGCCCAAGAGTCAAAAGGATCATTAAAAAGAATGAATACAAAGCTTCTATGTGCTCGTAGTTTGAACATGTGAGGAGTATGACACTGTTTTTGAGTGCTGATAATATAGGAAAGTGGCACCATACACAAACTGTTTACTCCTTCACAGTTTAAATTCTGCAACCAGACCTGGTCATATAGGTTAATCCCTTAACTTAACTCAAAGCTACTTACTGTAATGTCATGAAGACATTAAAAAAATCATAACTGAAGTGTCCTTGTTAGCAAAATTGTGGCTGCCATCTACAAGTTTGTTTGTTTACCTACAAAAGCAGATGAAGTGACTGAAATTAGGCCAACATTAGCAACAGTTTCAATATGTACACTCAGATTTGTTGAGTAAAGTGCTTTGTTTACACTGAGTGCACACCCGCATTTGAGAATTGGATTTCAATATATCTGGAAAATTATTGGAGTAAACTTTTTCAAACTGCACCATTTGACATAGTGGACTGTACTTATAAAGCACCTTTCTATCTTATGAAGACACTCAAAGCGCTTTACAAAACAATCTGTGTCCTCATTTACCCATTCATACAGCACTCTATCTCTACAAAGCTAATTGAACAAGTCATTCAAAAGAGACTAATCAGAGATTTATCACATTCATACACCGATGGGACACACATCGGCAATGAGGAGTTCAGTGTCTTGCCCAGGAACACTTCGGCATGTGACTGTTGGTGGATTCGAACCCCCAACTCTTGCATTGGAGGATGACTGCTTTAACCACTCAGCCACAGCCGCCACATAGGTCAGGGTAACCTTTTTGCGTTTATTTCATAGTTTGCTATGAGTACCTTTAACCATCAAAAATACCATAGCGGATTAAATTTAGTGGAAATATTTGGTTTAAATGGGGTTTGTTCTTGTTAAAAATTTTCTCCGCAGACACCAAGTGCGTGTCTAACACTAAGAATAAGAAATAAATTATGTGTGAACTCTGCAACCACACGCTTTTTCAAAAACGTAGAAATATTTAGCATAGAAAAAAATAATGTGAGAACCTCGAAGATTAAAAGAGTTGACATCTGTCTATCGACTAAAAAGTTGTTTTTCTCTGCAAAAAGAAGCTGAGAACTTGTTTACTGATTTTTTATTGAAAGCTTTGTGTGAAAAATGTTGTGCTAAAGAGTTCAAACCACACCGAGCGTCCGCCATTTTGAGAACTGACAAAAAGGAAAGAGAGACAGCCCATGTCACGTCAAGGGGCCTCCCTCCCATTTTTCTTAAAGAGCTGCTCGCTCCCTCACTATCCATCCTTCTGTTCAAACAGTCTTATACTGCCATCCAGTGGTCAAAAAAGGTATTACACTCAAAACAAATTAACCAACATTTCTTCTTAAATTTGACAATAACTACTAATTATTGTCAAATTTCAAACAATATCGTTTATTGCAATAATTTCTGAGACAATTAATCGCCCAGCAAAATTTGTTATCGTGCCAGGCCTAGCCTGAGCCTCTGCAGCTACGTGCTGAGAGGAAGAGTCTGTCACGCATGTTTCTTTAAAACATAACAGACTTGATGCTCAGCTTAAGTGACAATTTATCAATTGAAGCTGAAAAAAATAAAGCTTGAGCTTCTTGCTAATCCGCTGGAATAAATAAAACGGGGTGAAGAGGTGAAGCTACTCAGAAATTCGATTAAAATACCCGTCAGTTGAGTTTGTAGCAAAACGCTTTTCTTAAAGTATTGTTAAAATAAACAGCTCTGAATATTTCAAGCTTCTACAGCACAGACTGTTTTGTTGTTGTGTGATGTTCAACATAATTCAGTTTCAAACTTAGTTTGAACTCAAAATAGTTTTAATGGGAGATATTACAATGTAGTCTTCACAAAGTCCTCAACCTAAAAAAAAGTAGGTGAGGAGGAGCTGTAAATGAAAACAATAACAAATGTCTTATTTAGGCCAGATCAGATGAATACACTGACATATTAACCCTCCTGTTATGTTACGGGTCAAATTGACCCGGGAACACCATTGCTGTTCCTGACAAATGAACATAACAGGAGGGTTAGATACAGAATGTTCTGCTTACTTGATTTAGAAGTACACAGATGAATGAAAATAGATTAAACCGCAAGATAACTTTACCAAGAACTGATTTTATTCAGAAATCGCACTGAGGTTGGCTCTCGTGTCAGGTTTTGTATTCTCTCTCTGTCTCTAAAACGCACAGGTATTAATAGTTTTCTAAAAAGTCGTGCTGAAACAAAGAAAAATACCCATTTAAGTGGAAATCCAGTGCTATTTAACCAAGAACAAAGTGTAAAACACGACTGGAAACGAATCCCAAGGCCAGAATAATTAGTGAAAAAACAAAAAAGAAAAACTTTTGCGTAAAATTGACATATTTTGTAGATAAAAATAGTCTTACCGAGGTCTACATTCGTGGCCCAGAAACCAGAGCGGCACTGAAAGCGAACAGAGCTCTGAGGAACGATGGAGGGGCTGTAGCTTGTTCTCATCAGGTAATGGATCTGGTAAAGAATCTAGGAGGCAGAATTACAGAAATGTTAGTCAATATTCAAGGATATGTTTTTGTGCAGCAAACACTAAAATCCCTGTGCTGCTAAAGTCACATACCAGTCTCTTGCAGTACAGGAGAGCTGTTCCACTGTGACTCGCCGTGGCCCACTTAGTGAAGCTGATCACGTGGTCCAAATGCCTGGTGAGAACGTTGACATCGTCCTGCTGCTTCTTCAGAGCCAGCTCATGGTCTTTAGTCAAAGCCTGGGTGGGAAAAATGTTCAACAAATGTCACAACAGAGTTGCCACATATCAAAACTGCATCCGAAAAGCTTTTTTTAAAACAAACCTCAAGCTGATTAATCAGAATCTTTCCCTTCTTATTGATCTCCATGATCAGGTTACAGATGGACTTCTTTATTTCATTTGTCACAGCCTTACGGTTTTCTTCAACTTGCTGCAATCTATGAAAAGTCAGCACATAATTTAGTGCCATAACCCAGATTATTCTGTATTCCGTTTGAACGTGGCAAAGATGTTTAACTGCAGGAACAACAAAACCAAGCTGTCCTTGCTTTTTAATAGTCTGAATGAGAATGCACTCCTCACCCATTGTTGATGCAGCTTGATACTTCCTCAATGGCCTTTCGTTTGTCCTGCAGCTGCTGAGTCATGGTCTCCAAATACTGCTTATGATTTTTGTAAGCATCTTCCAAAAACTGGTAGCTAGACAGAAAACGCACTATTAGTATGAACGTAGTTTAAGATTTGTTATAATTTTGTTGTTGTAATCAAAACAATTTGGCTGATATGTCATACCTCAACTCTGATCATCAAACATTTTTGTTTTGCTTAAAAACTGATGTCATGATGCCAAAATGATGCATTAACCTTTATAGGACGTATGTGGAAAAAACAGACTGTTCTTAAATTAAAGGACACAAAGTTTGTTTTCTCAGTCATCCAGGTATATAACAACAAAAAAGGTTGAATCATGTCATCTGGACTTCGTTTTTTTATTAAAAAAGAAACGTTTCGCCCCTCGTCCAAGAGGCTTCGTCAGTCTGAGGCCTAGCCATCTGGTATTACCCAGAAGCCACCCTGACTCTTGTGTTAAATTAAAGGAGTATTATTTCCTAAAGGGGTGCATATCGCCCGCTGCTTTTCATGCCAGAGTTGTGGCAGCCATCTTTAATCAGGTTGACTCCAAGTTAATTTGTTGCAGATGTATATCCTACAATTTCTTTGTGAAAATTTTATTGAAATTTGCTCATTGGCTTGTGAGTTACTTTGCTAACAGGCAGACACAAGCCTATGGAGAAGAAAAAAAATAAGATGATCATCGTACTTGTGATCCTTGTGCTTCTGGAGCTGACAGTCTCGACAGGTGAGCCGATCGCATGTCTCACAAAAGAGCTTCAGTGGCTCCTGCTTGTGGACGTCACAAAAAACAGGCTTCTGTGAAGAAATGCCCAATGCTTCTGGCAGACGGAGGAGTTTAAAAACAAAGAAAAACACAAAATCAGATCGTTTTTATAAAATTGTAATATATTTGCTACTTCTCCCTATAAACAAGCAACCCATCTGGCTATGATTTGTTTATCTTCTCCATAAAAGCAGGTGCTTTAAAGTGAAAAAGGTCTTGCATCTCTAAACAAATGTTATGCCACTTGTCACCCCACTACCTGGAGACATCTCCTCTTTCTGCCGTATGGTGTGGCTTCTGGTGAACTTGACCCTCTGGTGTGCCTCGATGCACGTCACGCACAAAAACTCCACACACTCCACACAGTACCCCGTTGCCTCTGTGTTATCATCGCAGCTCATACACACCTGGGAAATAAAAATAATAAAACACGTGGCAGCAGAATAATGTCATACAAAGCTAAGGTTTTAGTGATGACCAACCTGGCTGGGCTTCTCCACCGTGCTGCTGGGCACCTCGGCAGAATCCTTGACAAAGAAATTGTCCAAAATGTCAATTTCCCAGCATTCTTGTCTGCACACTGAACACTGAATGGCACCTACAAGAACAGCAGATACATTACTGAGCATATGAGCTAAAAAACAAACATTTATATTACTTTATTTACTGAGTAAATATGCTGCGCTGAGGTACATGTTTCTATAATATTGACATGATGGTAGGAGACTGTTTGAACATACAGTTTGATGTTAATAGGAATCCATTACTTTAACTTATCCATCATTACTATAACAATAGATTAAAACTACACCATTGGAAGCCTTAAAATAATACACTGCTATCACAAATACTATCTGGATGTTATTTATATTCCATCAATTGCTACATTTTATTTTGACCCACTTTGGGATGCTTGTATCTGACAAAAGTCCAGATAAAATAGGCCAAACTTCCTGAAGCTTTTGGATGACACAGTGTACTGTGCAAAAGTCTTGGATCGTTTCTTCATATTTTGCTTCCAACTTCAACCAAATATCGTGACAAGAATCCCACGTCCAAGTTTTTTTTTTTTAAATGTTAGGATAACTTATCCACTTCATTTCAGGTCAGTACCTGCCTGTTTTCAGATTATTTTTTCTTTTCTTTGCTAAGCCACTTAACTCTGACTTATTCATTCAGACATGGAAAGGCTCAGGAACTAAAGAGATAAACCAGTGTTGTGTTGACACTAGCACTTTGTAACCAACAGCCTGTCACAACGACAGTTTGCTTCTATTTCTATTGTTAAATAAAATCCATGAAAAGGGTCAAAAATATAGTTGGGCAGCAACAAAAGAAAATGTCAAACAGCTATGAGCTAAAAACTTGATGTACAACTTGGGGATCAAGTCTGTAGATTTGTTTGCACCATTTCTTAAATACTTTCATATACTGAGCTTTTATTTTAAATATTTTTAGGTCTGACATCTTTTTTAGTCCTCCACTTTTTTTTTCATTTAAAAAGTAAACAATGCATTTTGTTTTCATTCATACAGATTAGTCTAATTGGGCCACGAGGACTCAAGAGAGACCTGTTTTGTTTGTCATGACATGACAGAAACTGAGTGAACATGCAAGTCCCCCTAAAAAAGAAAAACCTTCCAGACAGCCTAAAGATTTAAATGCAATATCAGCAACTAACAGCAAAAATAAAAAAAGGGTAATTTAAAAATGTCTGAACACTAAAGTTGATCATCTGTGCAGAATTATAAGCAACATAGTGTTACAACTGTGCATTTGAATCATTCTTTGCAGAACCACAACTCTAACATCTTGCATTTTATCTAATATTTAATAATGTAATAAGAATGGGTCAGTTTACAAAACGTGATCGAATGGTGCACTTTAAACGAGTGTCTGCAGCAATGATTCTGCTGTTTTATAATTAAAAGATCATGGTGAATGACAACAAGATCAGAGTGTGCTGTGACGCTAGATCCCGGACATTTCTCCGGTGTGGTGCCGTCACCTGGACCATGCGGCTCTCGCCTCGGCGGCTCGGTGCTCCTGGATGGCGGCGGCAGACACCTCTTGCAGAAGGAGTGGAGACACGGCAGCAGCTTGGGCTCTCTGTTGTGGAAGCTCAGCTTGCAGATGGGACATGTGTCCATAAGCCCGAAGGCGCCTTGCTGTTTGAGTTTATTATCTCCTGCCGGAAGACTTTCGGCCTCGTTTTCCACGATAATAACAACGTCATTATCAACATTTTTGGCACTTTCATCCATTTTACTCTCTCTTCTGTAGCTTCACAATATTTCCAAATTAATCAATGCAGCTAGCACAGCGTCGACCCCCCCCAAAAAAAAAGGTTTTCCTTTAAATGTCCTGGAACATCAACTATTAATGTGCAATACAGCATCCCTAGTCACGTCTGTCCACCTTTACATCCTAAAAGATCAAACGAAATTATATCAGCTCGTGCGTTTCTTTTCGTCTGGACAGCTAAATTAGCATGATTAGCCTATTTTAGCATCGCGAATTATTAACAAAAAACAAATTCCTCTCTTTGTGGCGGTTATTAGTAATATAGACAAAGCATTAATAGTTCACAGACACGTATATAACGGAATAAGGTCAAACAAACTGTATTTTGCGACTTATTCGTCCATGTATGAGGGGTACGCTAACTGTCTTTTCTCAAAACACATATTACCCACACGGCACTGCGGTGTTTCCCAGCTACGGTGGCCGATCAGTACAAAGTTAGCGTGAACCACTGCGAATTCAACAGTCTTTGCGTAGGTAGCTGCAGAAATAAAAGTACAGGTCAGAAAATGCCGTTCCTCCAGTCTAATAAAACGTGCAATTTTTTGTAATATATTTAATAGATTGAATAAATTGTACATTTACAGGCTGTGAAACCCATCTGATACCATTAGTTGAAATAAAAACAGTGGTTGAAACAATGCTCAAGAAAGGTTTTAGGGTTCATTTGTACTTTTCCAGTTTGTACTTTTAAGGTTTTGGTCACAGTACACTCACTTCCTTGGTTACAGGGGAAAAATACTCACCTTCAACCATTTGTTACCTGCTTTGGCCATGCTTTGTACGCAGCTTTGTAGCAACTGAAGTTGATGTTTGACAAACTGAATTAATATTAATTTCTGTATTCTGTTGCATGCTCAATAATCCAGGTATATAAATCTAACAAGTTTAAGTCAGGTCCTCTAGACGGATTCTTCTACAAAGACGAATCTGTCTAGAGGGCCTGACTGAACCTTGCTAGAGGAATACCTTCTGTAATGAAGGTAGGTTAATGTTAGCCATGTCTCCAGCACCTAACTGTAACATCTGACACATTTCCCTGACATTCAGACTTTACCTTAATCTCAGACCTTAGGCTGACACACAAATGCATGGGTACACAATTGGTTGCATTAATAAAATGACCACTGCTAAATACAAGGTGGGAGTGCAAAAGGATGAAGCGTGAATACACATAGGAAACAATGCATTTCAGTTACACCATGCAACTCTTGCACCATGCAACCTGAACCCACATGTGGGTTGCGTGGTGCAAGAGTGCATTAGCATTGTTGCCTTGCAGGACAAAGCGATTTCAGGTTTGACTGCCATCGAGGGCTTTTCCTTGTGGAGTTTACATGTTCCTCTCGTCCAAAATCATGCATTTTATGTTTTATTTGATTTCGTTAGGGCTGACTAAAGTGATTGTCTTACTTATTTCTGTCTGTCTTTGATGGTGACCTGTCCAGGTTGTACCTTGCCTCTTACCCATTGACAGGTAAACAAAACAGATAGAGGGATTCCTTTCATTTCTGACCTCTTGTTTTACATCCAGTTTTTACTTCTGTTTCCCCACTTAGATCTACTTCCTCAGCACTGCTCTCACGGCACACTTCTTATTAATAAATAAAAAAATCTGGAGTTTCTGAGTTTCAAGTCAGAAAATTTGATGAGAACAATTTTACAGAGTTGGACCTTGAAACCTATTCTGTGGCTGTCCTGTACTCTAAACAAAAGGTGCAGTTTTAAACAGTTTGTCTGCATGTTTCTCAGTTAATAATTGAATTAGTACAACCTGTAACAGTGTGCATGCTTCTGCAGTGGTTGTTCTGCATTTCTAAACAGGAATTTTCTTTTAGTTTAATCAAATAGCACTTAGTGTGCTTTGTAGATTTCACCCTGTGTGGCATTTGAAAGCATTTCATTATATTATTACATTTGCGCACAAATGTGTCAAATACTGCTGCTTTATCACCCAGTCAGTCTGTGCGGGAGGCTGATCCTCCCGTCCTGGGAGGAGTTATGTCACTGATCAAAGAGCAGAAGAACAACACAATAGATAAGTTTCATGGCACACAGTGAGTGGGACTTCAACTAAAGGCACAAAGTGCAGAACAGACTCAAAGTAACATGGAGCTGACAGCAAAAGCCCACTCGGTTCCTTTGAGTGATGGAAACAGCATACCTTTAATAGGACTGGGAACTTATGGGAATCCCAGCACGGTAAGAAGAAAACAAATGACTGACCAGAAACAGAAATCATGCTGTGATTCTTCTGAGTTTATTGTTTTATTAGACTCCAAAAGGAACGTCATATGAAGCTGTCAAACTCGCCATTGAAATAGGCTACAGACACATAGACGGAGCCTTGGTGTATTTCAACGAACATGAGGTGGGACAAGCAATAAGGGACAAAATAGCTGATGGAACTGTCAAGAGAGAGGACATCTTCTACTGTGGGAAGGTTTGCAAACGTTTGCCTGCTCATGGCTGAACCACTGTGAACAAATTTCATGGCCACAAAGATAACCTGCTGCCACAGTTTTGCAACAACTAATAACATTTTTTTTTGTTGTTTTCTATGTCTTTACAGCTGTGGAACACATTCCATCCCCCTGAGCTGGTTCGGCCTGCTCTGGAGAAAACACTGACGACGTTACAGCTTGATTATGTCGATCTTTATATTGTAGAAATGCCAACAGCTTTCAAGGTTATAACCTCATTTCAAGCCTCAATAATACCCCTCGAACAGGGAATTTTTTTCATGTCTTTTATTAGCTATTCCACTTATTGTTGTTCTTTTGGGCTTTCCGAAGCCAGGAGACAACTTCTACCCACGAGATGAGAATGGGAAGTACATTTACCACGAGACAGACCTCTGTGCCACATGGAAGGTGAGTTCTTTAATTCATGGACAGAACTGGGTTCAAATGTGTGAACACCAATAAAGCAATAAAATACCAATCTTTGGTCTTTAAGTTCAACTGTCATTGAATCTCTCAGGTCATCGTTAGGGGTTACCTTGGTATCAACTTGATTATTGCCTTTCACCATAAAGGGCGGGTGATCGTGTAAATGCTTGTATCTTCTGCCTGTTTGTTAACAAACCATTTTAAATTAAAAGAGTGAACGCATATTGCTCTCCACTGTCCGTGCCGTGCCGAGTTTCAGATCATTATGATGAGGCAGAGTTAAAGCCATTTTTAAACGTGGATACGTTTTCCTTCGTGGAACTCTGCTTTCATTTTGTCACTCTTCAGAGTCTTGTTTGCTGTCTTTTCATGTCTTGGACAGGCTTTGGAAGCTTGCAAAGATGCCGGGCTGGTCAAGTCCCTCGGAGTGTCCAACTTCAACAAACGCCAACTGGAGATGATCCTGAACAATCCAAGTCTGAAACATAAACCGGTGTCAAACCAGGTACACTACCTCTGCATTCCTGCACAATTAGAGTGCGCTAACGTGCTAAAGATGGAAGGAACGAGATGATGAAAATAAAATATAACAACAAAATTTGTGACGCATTTGTGAAAACTGAGTTGGTGCATGGAATCAAAGGGGACTACTGACAACATGTATCTTTAATGTTTTAAACCCAGGTTGAATGCCATCCATACTTCACCCAGCCAAAGTTGCTTGAATACTGCCGGGAAAAAGACATTGTCATTGTCGGTTACAGTCCTCTTGGTACATCCAGAGATGCATCATGGTATGGACCCTTTCTCACTTTATGAATGAACAGTAAAAAAAAAAAGTGCTATCAGGTTTGACATAGGCCTGTCGAGATAAACAATAAATCAATTAATCGCATGATAAATGAAAATTATTGACCTCATTTTCATTTATCGGCTTTGTTTCTTCGTGTCTCTCTATTTCTACTGAAGACACTGGAAGACGAAAAGGCTCAACTCCGGTGCTCTTCACTGGCCTTTCTCTTTAAAATATGTTTTAACCATTCAAAATCGCGTTTTTGGATCGTTAAAAGCAGTTAAGCCGAGAAGCTAAGCCAAGAGCTAAGCTAACAGGCCAACCTCGAGACAAAACCTCTGTCTTGTCAAAGCTCCAAAATTCACGGTTGAAACCTGTGCCTTCTCTGCAAAAAGAAGCTGAGAACTTGTTTATTTTTATTAAAAGCATTGTGTGAAGAATGCTATGCTGACGAATTCAAACCACACCGAGCATCCGCCATTTTGATATCCGATAAACAGGAACGAGAGACAGCCCATGTCACGACAAGGGGCTTCTCTCCAGCAGGGCCGAGCTCAAATTGCGGCAGTGACACGCTGCTCGCTCCCTCACTATCTATCCCTCGGTTCAAACAGTCTTTTACTGCCATCAAGTAGTCAAAAAGGTACTACCCACAAAAATGTATTAACATTTCTTCTTAAATTTGACAGTTACTAATCATTGTCAAATTTCAAACAATATTATTGTTTATCGCGATAATTTCTGAGACAATTAATCGCCCAGCAAAATTTGTAATTGTGACAGGCCTAGTTTGACACGCAAAAAAATAACATTAAAACATAAAAATTTATTTGGAAAAGTGATTAGATCAGGGGTGTCAAACTCAATAACCACTGGTGTCAAAATGATGACATTATTAATGGTAGGTGAATAAATAAACAACTTGTGCATCGGTTTTCAAATTTATTATGTCAGTTTTTTCATACGGAACAATATTTAACTCAATTGAATTTAAATATTTTTCTCCAAGACACATCATGTGGAATCTAAATTAAACAAGTACCTAATTTGGCTTGGTAGAAATCAGATATTAAAAAACCGTTTAAATGCTAAAATGACAAAGCTGCCATCCAGACATGTCTTCCACTGAAATATTTTAACAATTTATGAATTAAAAATATGTCTGAGGAGCCCCTGAACTGTTATTAGATTGAGATAATAAAAAGAAGCAGCAGCAGCACTTGATCCGACACACATTTTACGTTTTTACAGTCAGTTTTATGGTATTTTTATTTCAAATATATATATATTTTTACTTCACACAGGGTAAACCTGACGTGCCCACCATTGCTGTTAGATGAGTTTTTGACTTCAGTCGCCAAAAAGTATAAAAAGACCACGGCACAGGTGTGCCTGAGGTTCAACGTCCAGAGAGGAGTGGTTGTCATTCCAAAGAGCTTTAGCCCCGCTCGTATAAAGGAGAACTTTGATGTACGTTTTTATGACATCCTTTTTTTAATAGAAATACAAAAAGAAAACAAAACATCTGAATTAATTTGTCACTGTTTTGTCAAAACTGCAGATATTTGACTTCTCTCTGTCAGAGGATGAGATGAAGGCGATTGAGGGTCTGAACAAGAATATTCGTTTTGTGGAGCTTCTCATGTGAGTATCGCACAACTTGTGTAAAACTTTATTATTTCTAAGTAATTAATGGTTCTGTTTTTTTTCTCAACAGGTGGTCTGATCATCCAGAGTATCCATTTCATGACGAATACTGACGCCACAAGCTTATAGCTACTTTGATGGCTTAATGATTTTATAGTCATGTTACATCACAAATAAAAAATAACAAATAAATAATAAATACTGCACCTTTATTGTTAATTTTATAAAATGTTATTGGCTGTAGTGATTTGAAGCAGAATATATAATGTCAATAACATTCCCATGAGTTTGATTTATAAACAAATGTCAAACAAAGTCCAATCATATCTTTTCTGCTTTTGTTTGAGAGATGAATATAACAATCTAATGTTGGAATTCTGGGCTGTTTAAGTATTTTTGTGGATTAAATAAATAAAATAGTAACATCATTCAAACACAGCAACCACGTATCATTACTTTGAGCTATTAAATGTAAAGTAACGACACAATAAGATATTCTATAATAAACAAACTTGAAAAAATTGCATTTTAATGTTGTGCGAACAATGTGTTAAATGACTATGTTGAAAAAGCTTAAACTTAACTGCATACAAATAAAACTATAATAGGTAAAATGAGCTAAATGAAAGCTAAACAATTAGAACGTGCTAAAATAAAAAACACAAGCTAATTTGAGAGGAACAATAAAAGCTAAAAAAATAATTACAGTAGCTACAAGTTAAATTTTACAAAGTGGTTTCTAAAAGTTAAAATGTGCTTTACAGTCACTAAAGTAAGACAAACTGTGGCTAAGAGTGAAAATTAGCTAACCAACAGCAACAAGCTAAAATTAGCTAAACAGAAGCTAACAGCTAATATTAGCAAAATAGAAGCCAACAGCTGAAATTAGTAAAACTGTAGCTACTCTAAAATCAGAAATACTGTTACTGATATGACCCAAACTTTACTCAAGAACTAACATTAGCAAAACAAATAAAATCTAAAAAGACAAAAATTGTAGCCAAAAGTTTAAATTACAAAATATTAATCCAAATCTTTAAATTAGAAGATTTGCGACCAAAAGTTTAAATTAACAAAACAGTATCTGAAAGCTATAATAGAGCAAGTTCTTGTGTGCTGAAGTAGATTTTTAAAAAGAACATTATTTGAAGGATTTGGAAATATCTCAGTGTATTTTTATGGGGAAATGTGTTTGTAAATAATGTAAAGTATTTTTTAAGCATAAGTTAAAAATACTGGATTAAACACTTTTTTCCTCAGTCACACCGAATGGTTAAAAGAGGGAAAAGAAGCTATGTAGTTGAGAAAATCAATAGTGTAAATGATAATTTATGTTAAAAATATAAAAAAATAAAAATTTATGACTGAGGCTGTGATGATTACTCGGACTCTTTATAGGCTCTGGTCACGTGTTCATGTGGGCCCATTCAGTGGCATTTAGTTACAAAATTTATTCCACTTTAATAAGCGTTGTACGTTATATAATATTTTTGTTACATCAACTATTTATCTTCGTATCTTCCAAAAAAACGAAAAAGTAGTTACACTGTGTAAACAAATTCGGAAAGTTTATTTTTAACGCAACCCTCCATTCAAAAGTAATCCGTTTTCCGAGTGTCTATCAAGGCACCACAACGGCTTCCTCCCCTGTCCTTGCTAATAGTAGCTAGCATGCTTGCTAATGCGGCTAAAAATAGACGATGTTAAATTATACAGGAAGTCGCGCTCGATAAAATGAAACTAATAGTACCCGGGTTTCATGCGTTTTTATTTACTATACTTTGACCTTAGCAGGCTATCCTGCTAGAATGACTATGTTTTCCGGGGCTAAGACCGATGTTTAGCTGCGCAACTGATTTTTAGCCGCATTAGCTTTGTGCTAGTTTCCCCTTTCCTGGAGCGCTACATGTCATGAATGAGAGCCGACGCAGGGAGTAAACACGCCAGCTTGATTCAGTGCTTTACGAAGTGGACGCAAGAGGCTGGAGATTATTTGAGAAAGCGTGACAAGCTATCGCAAAGGACTTGAGCTAACCGTTGCTAACTACTGGAAATGCATATTTTATATAGCGAAGACGAAATGTCTAGCCTCCTCACGAAACGTAACAACAACAGCAGTGATTTCCTGTGTAACATAATACAGCTGTCAGTGGGGGGAGGTTGGGTTTGTGTTTAAATGCTAAACGTAATATTTTTGTTTTGTTGAAACGTTAACAAAGCTAATACTCGAAGGAAGGAACGCTGGCGTAAAGGACTTCCCGTTCCAGGGAGCGAACACTCAGTCATTACCAGCTTATTTTTTTATATTTCCTATTGAGACAATTATCATGGACACGAAGGAAGTTATTGAATTTAATCATTGTTAAAATAGATTGATCCGGACGCGGTTTTATGTTTTGGGGGGTGCCGTTTTGAATGATTGCTTCGCCTGGAGCCACTCCGACATGTCTGCTTTTGCCGAGTTCGTCCCCCCTCCCGAATGCCCGGTGTTTGAGCCGAGTTGGGAGGAATTCTCGGATCCTTTAGGATTCATCAACAAGATCCGACCCATTGCAGAGAAAACGGGCATCTGCAAGATACGGCCTCCACAGGTAAACTTGCACCTTGAAAACAAATGTTTAGTGTAAAACCAGCAGGGATTTGTGCAGTTGTGATCGTACGTAAAGTGCGTAGCTTAGGTTGACTGGGCCTACGTAAAAACAGCGCAACTTCTTAAAGGTCAAAAAATGGCTCAATTTATAAGCAGGACTCATTTTTTTAAACAAGTGTGCTGCTTTTTTAAATTTATCTTTTAAGAAGAGTTGTAAAAGAGTGAAATTACACTGTTTTGTGTGTTTTTATTAAGCTAAGGTACATTTTGTTAATAATGATGTGACACTGGGTCAAGTGCAGGCCTAAAAGTCATGAGAGTAATGAAGGTGACATTTGGCCAAGATTTGTGTTTTTAATCGCATAACGCATAGTTTGAATACAGATAAAAATAAAGTGCTTTAAAGTTCAGTCATAAATCCTGGTTCTGCTGCAGAAAAAAGTACGAATGTTAAATGTACGCACAGCTGCACGTTACTGCGTAAATGTGTAATGTATTTCCTTTAAGATGCATAGTCTTTTGACACTCATTTCATTTGCGTTTTTTTTTTTTTTTTTCCAGGACTGGCAGCCTCCATTTGCCTGTGATGTTCGCAACTTTCGCTTCACTCCAAGAGTGCAAAGACTAAATGAACTTGAGGTGAGTTTTACTGAATTATATTTCACCTGTTTTAAAGCAGAGTTCTGGATTGAATTTAGATGTTAATTTTATGCTATTTACCATTTAGATTGAGATTTCAGCTATTTTTGCTCAATGCAGCTCTTCATATGCTTTTAAAATGGGTTTCACATGACTTTATAACTTATGTAGCCTAAAAGTATTCATGTTCAGTTTTTTTTTTCTGAGGCACCAGATGAGCAAAACAGTTTAACACCATCATCTTGTCCTCTGTGTCTTCAGGCTCTCACTCGGGTTAAACTGAACTTTCTGGATCAAATTGCAAAGTTCTGGGAGCTGCAGGGATCAAAGATTCGATTCCCTCATGTGGAGAGAAAGATTTTGGACCTCTATCAGCTCAGCAAGGTAAAACCACAACAGTTTAGAATTTGCTCCTGTGTGTTTTTGTAGTTCAGAGATGTACTGCTGATTTTATAAATGTCGCTAAAGATTTGATTTGTTTTCAAAACAATAATAAAATATTTGATTGCCTTTTTATTTATGAAATTTGTTATAGCAATTGTCGCAGAACTTTGGAAGCATACTATAATTAAGTGCTTTAGCACACTAGTTGTGAATATGTTTAAATGTATTGCTGACAGTAAGTTCCTCTGTTAGTTTGTAAGCGTTGTCAGTGTTCATTATGCTGTTAAAATCCTCATTTTGGACACTCTGATTCTTTTTAGATCGTGTCGTCCGAAGGCGGCTTTGAGACGGCATGCAAAGAGAAGAGGTGGTCCAAAGTGGCCAGTCGAATGGGCTTTCCGCAAGGAAAAGGCACTGGTTCTCTTTTGCGTTCACACTACGAGAGAATCCTTTATCCTTATGAGCTCTTCCAGTCTGGAGCTACGCTCACTGTAAGTGCTAAGCTACAATGCTGTTTATTTACGTCTAACTGACTGTAAGTAATTTTACTTTAAAGTGCCCGTGACTTTAAACATCAGTAATAGAAACCTTCCCGCAAAAACAAATCATATTTAACTCCACTAATCACTTTGAACAGGGCCTCCACAGGCTGTACGATGAGGCAACCGACGGGGAGGAAGTGGATGAAGGAGTTGGCGAGGAGACGATGGAGGAGGAGGAGGAACAAGACGAGGAGGATGAAAAGGACAAGGAGAGAGACTCGGAGGGTGATTTGATGCAAACCAAAGAGCAATTTCTGCCCGAGAGGCGCTCCAGACGACTGAAGTCAGAGGTACAAGTCAAAATAAGCTGTTTGTATCAGAAGTCATGTGTTTGAATTGTTCATTCCTTCACCCGCTGTGTAATGGTTGCTTTAATGACATGGCTCATGAAGTGATAGGTGGCTAGTTAAGCACTATTTGAGTGCAAATCATGGAAAGATGCATTTTAAACCTGATGGCGATCATACATTTGCTGTTTTTGGCTCAGAAGCTGCTGTAGTTCTCTTTTTTTTTTACAGACTAAATCCTGTGCTTCCCTTTAACACCTTTGAATTAATCAGTATTGTTGCGTTTCCCCGTCTGCTGCTCTTCTTTAGAGAGAAAACAAAGAGCCTAAAGGCCTCAAACTCTTTGGAACAAGTCCCAAGATGGTCGGTTTGGAGATTCTTTCTGCTGGTAAATTGAATTTTTGGCCGACTTTGTTTTTGGCATTTCAAATTCCAGGACTGACTTACATGTCGACTTATATGTTGACACTTTTTCACGTAGATGATGGATTCATTAAGAAGCAGCGTCACCTCAAAGCTCAAGCCTTCGCCATCAAGATGAGACCACGCAAGGAGACCTTAGAGGTCAACTTTGTGAGTACCATTTATTTGTGTTTTACATTAAAGTTGATGTTTATTGTATCTAGCTACCTATCTTTTTTAACCCTCTGTTGCATTAATCCCCCAGATTGACCTTTATCTCTGCCTGGTTTGTGGACGGGGCAACGAAGAGGAGCGGCTCCTGCTGTGTGATGGCTGTGATGACAGCTATCACACCTTCTGTCTCATCCCACCTCTGCAGGATGTGCCCAAGGGGGACTGGCGATGCCCGAAGTGCGTCGCAGAGGTACTGATTATTTCAAATGCCTCAGAGCAGGCTTACGTGTTTATATTTGGGCCGTCACTTTAATTAGGAAGTGGGACAGCTGTATGATTTCAAATACATCCACAGCAAAAGTATCATTTAACATCTGTTCTAATAGGAATGATTGACAGCCCTAATTTACACCAGTCAGTTATAATATTATCGCAACAAATAAAATGTGTAACTGCGTTCCTGCTTGGTCGGTCTCTGAGAAGAAAACCCAGTTTACAAAGACCTCCATCCTACAATCCACAGGTGTTTAATGGTGTTTTGCCACAATCTCAACTCTCATCAGTTCTGTACCCCACCCACCACCACCACAACCAGTTAAGGGCCTGCCCACTGCCAGTACCCACTCCGCCTGGTTTATGTGTCTACCTTGTTCATGGTTCCAAGCGACTGCTCCATGCTGATGATTTTAACGTAAGCACACAGCAGCCGTTAATTGGCTCACGGAGCTACGCAGGTTCATCACATTTACTGACCGATGTTAGGATTCACCCTGAGCTGGACGGCGCCACAAGAAACGAGCGCATTTACTGAGAGATATTGGAGCTGTTCATCCAGCATGGTTACACCCTGACTTACAAGCAGTGCCGGGACAAGCTAAAGAAATTAAAGTCTGATTAAAGAGCAATTAAGAACTGCAATGAGCAGAGTGGCTCAAACACAACGACCAGTTACGATACCTCCCACTTTGCATTGACAATCCGTCCACAGAGCAGGGAAACGAGTCACAGCGGCAAATCACCTCCACTTGAGAAGAACCAATAAGCTGAGAGCCGAGTGGAGTCACACTTAATAATGACAAAACAGTTAAAGTACCGGTACCCATATTAATATCCAAGTACAGTCTAGGACCCCTCATGTTTACTGCCTTTGTTCTTCATATGATCAAATCAGTTCTAGCGACTAAACAAAGTTCTACTTGGTATTTGGGAGGTGGTCATAATGTTTTGGTTATTCAGTGTTGGTATGTGATGATGGAGAAACGGTGTCAGATAGTGCAGACTACAGGATCGTCGCATTAAGCATGGCGGCCCTGAAAAACAAAAAACTAGCTTAAAACAACTTCCTGTCAGCGACTTGGGTTGTTTTATCTGATTTTAGTTTTACTGTTTAAAAGTATTTTTATTAGTTTTACTATAAATGTTTTTGTTCCATGTTTTCTTGTTTTTAATGGTTCTTGTATTTTATGGAATACAAAGTTCTTTCTTTCTTTCTTGCTGACAGGAGTGCAGTAAGCCCAGAGAGGCGTTTGGCTTCGAGCAGGCTGTGAGGGAGTACAGCCTGCAGGGCTTTGGAGAAATGGCCGACCACTTCAAATCGGACTATTTCAACATGCCCGTTCACGTATGTAGCTCGTTTGAGTGGACAGTTAGCAGCTACATGTCATCACAGGGTTTTAAGTCCTGAGATGAGATGCGGGGATTAATGCGGTTGACCTTTTACCCCCACCCAGATGGTACCTACAGAGTTGGTAGAGAAAGAGTTCTGGCGCCTGGTCAGTAGCATCGAGGAGGACGTCATCGTTGAGTACGGAGCTGACATCAGCTCCAAGGAGGTGGGCAGTGGCTTTCCTGTCAAGGACGGCAAGAGGAGGCTCCTGGGCGACGAGGAGGTGAGAGAAGTGGTGTTGTAGCGAATTGAAAACAATATTTACCTTCTGTGATGTGTTTTTATGTATTTATTTGAAGTGGGGTGAAAAGCAGAAGTACATTAATGGATTTATTTGACTCATTTCTCCTCTTTGCTTTAAAGCCCAAATCTCTGCCTGTTGTGAAAAGTTCTCTTACTAAACAGGAAGAGAGAGGAAAAGTTGTTTAGAAATGCTTATTGGGGTAGGATTATTAAAAGTTTTAAAATTTAAACAACAAAAAAATACCTTGAGCACCATTAAATCAAGTTGAGTTTGGTGCTTTAAGAAACCTGCCGAGAAAAAGCAGTACTATCAAAACACAAAGCGTTTTGCAGCTCGCCAACAGAGACCAGAGTGTCTGTCCCATTTAGGCTGTGTTCCTCACAAAGCTGGACCATCTGCAGTTTAAAGAAAATGTAAGGAAATTTCTCAAAAAGGGAAAAATAAATTACAGTGTGTCATGCAGTCCCAGCATTTTTTGATAATTGCAACGTCAACGCGAGTTACGCTAGTAGCAGCATCATGCTGTGAGGAAGTTAAGCTAATTGATGCAGAAGGAGTGATGGATGGTGTTTAAAGAAAAAACGTTGTGGAAAACCTGTTATGACTCGGGTGGAGGGTCAACGTTTAAAATGGCATCCTAAACTTAATGCTAAAGCAACTCTGGGCCTCACATGGTTTCCACATTGTGATCCATGAAATAAGATTTTTAGACCCCAACCTTTGCTAAAATACAAAAATATTACTGACGCGCCAGTTAAACTGCTATAAGGATAATAGAAACGGCCTTAATAACTGTTTTACTTTTTTTATCCACGTAAAACTTTTTATTTATTTTATTTTTTATGGGAAATGATTCAGTCAGCAATATTTTTTTTAACATATAATTTGATTTCTAGAAATCATCAAGTTCTCCTCTTGTCACTTTTATTTTCCCCCTGGCCACAACTTTTGGAACAGCTGCTCTATGGGAGAAATTTTAATTTCTATAATCGGTCTTAAATTGTGGTGAAATCCAAACGTTGTTAAACACCAGCAGACCCATTTCAAGCTCTCCTCTCTTTGAAGAAGAAGCTCTAACGGTTGTTTGCAGAGTTTACGGAAACTTGCCTCAACAAACTTGCAGTCGTCATTCCTGCAAAAAGTTTTTTTCTTCACAATTTAAACCAGTTAAAAATTTCTATCGTGTTAATCAAATAATATAATTCTACTAAATACATTTTAATTCCAGGATGTTAGGCTAAAAAAAATACTGTAATTGTTCTGCTTTCAGTATTTCACCCCTGATCATGTTGGTGGTTTTTATTGTGTTGCACTAAAGTACTTCTGTCCCGTCCTGCCAGGAATATGCCAACTCGGGCTGGAACTTGAACAACATGCCGGTTCTGGAGCAGTCAGTTCTCACGCACATCAACGTGGACATATCGGGCATGAAGGTACCCTGGCTCTACGTGGGGATGTGTTTTTCCTCGTTCTGCTGGCACATAGAGGACCACTGGAGTTACTCCATCAATTTCCTGCACTGGTGAGGCAGCAAAACCAACATTACCTTTAATGTCATAATGTTATAAATCATAACTTTGTTCCTCTGCGCTCCAGGGGTGAACCCAAGACTTGGTACGGAGTACCAGCTTCTGCAGCAGAGAAGCTAGAGGCTGTGATGAAAAAACTGGCTCCAGAGCTGTTCGACTCCCAGCCAGACCTTCTTCACCAACTGGTCACCATCATGAACCCGAACATCCTCATGGAGCATGGTGTTCCTGTACGTACCCTGGTGTTAGTTGAGCTGATGACGTATTCTGCACTCGTTCATACGAATGTTCCTCTCCGCAGGTGTACAGGACGAATCAGTGTGCAGGGGAGTTTGTGGTGACCTTTCCCAGGGCTTACCACAGCGGCTTCAACCAGGGCTACAACTTCGCCGAAGCTGTTAACTTCTGCACCGCTGACTGGGTAAACAGTTATCTTTGTGGGTTGTTTTTTTTGTTCGTAGAGGTGTTACATTTTTACCTGTTTCTCAGTTACCACTGGGGCGTCAGTGTGTCGCCCATTACCGACGACTCCGTCGTTACTGCGTCTTCTCCCACGAGGAGCTGTTGTGCAAGATGGCTGCCGATCCAGAGAGCCTCGACGTGGAACTGGCTGCTGCCGTCTTCAAAGAGATGGGAGAGATGATAGAAGAGGAGACAAAACTCAGACAGGCTGTCCAAGAAATGGTAAAATCTTTTGTTTACTCGCCGTATGTCGGCCTGTTGAATGATCGTTAACCAGAATAAACATTCCCAACATGTGAACACGAACATTTAGTCTTATTTTTCTCCTGATGTTCAGGGGGTGCTGTCGTCGGAGCAGGAGGTTTTTGAACTTGTTCAAGATGATGAGCGTCAGTGCCACAAGTGTAAGACGACCTGCTTCCTGTCTGCGCTGACCTGTTCCTGCTGCCCAGATCGGCTGGTTTGTCTCCACCACGCAAAAGATCTCTGCGACTGTCCACTGGGCAACAAGTGTCTCCGGTGAGAATTTATTTTATGTGTATAAAAGTAAAACAGTACAAGTCATGGTCAGAACATGTATTTCTGTTTTTTTGGGAGGGAGGTGGTGTTACTTTCCTCCCTGATCTAACCTTTTCAGCTTGTTTTTATTCGGTATATTTCAGGTACCGTTACGATCTGGATGAGTTTCCGTCGATGCTTTACGGTGTGAAGACTCGGGCTCAGTCCTATGACACCTGGGCAAAGAGGGTCGCGGAAGCTTTGGCAGCAGATCAGAAAAACAAAAAAGGTGTATTTCTCTTGACTATGCAATATTTACCAGTACACACTAGTGTACTTCATTTTTAACTAGAGAAATTTCATTTCCTGCAAAAATGTAGTGTGAATGCTTATTGCTGAAGAACTTGCTGAAAAACAGCTAAAATTAGCTCAAAACATGCTGAAATGTAGCTGAAATGGAAGAACAAGCCTAAGTTAGCAGACGAAAGCAGAAAATACACATATTTGCTGAATTATGTTTAAATTGGCAGAAATGAGCACAGAAATTAGGAAATTAGCTAAAAAAAAGGCTGAAAAGTAGCTGAACAGGCAGAAAGAAGCTTAAGCTACTAGAAGGAAGCAGAAAGAACTGAAATGAGTTAAAAAAAATGTAGAATTAGCTTAATTTTTTTTTTTAGCACAAAACAGCTAAAAAGTAGCGGAAATAGTAAAAAAAGGTTGAAACTAGCAGAAAGGAGCATATCAAGCTGAAATGAGCAGAAATAAGTTACTGTAGTTAGGCTGAAAGTAGCAGAAATTACAAAAAAAAAAACTTGAATTTATCTGAAAACTGCTGAGATTAGCCAAATATGCTAAAAAAAAAAACGTAAATGAAAAAGGTAGAACAAGCTTAAATTAGTAGAAAAAAACAGAAAGAGCATATGTTTGCCCAATTAGACTGAAAGAAGAATGAGCACAAAAAATGGAAATTATCTGAAAACAGCTGAAATTAGCAAAAAAACATATGAAAAGTAGCTAAAAAAGCAGAAAGCGACTGAAATTACAAGAATGAAGTGGAAAGAGCACAGTTTTGCTGAATTAGGCTGAAAAAGTTTAAATGAGTGCAAAAAGTGTGGGATTAGCTGAAAATGACTAAATTAGTATAAAAGCAGCTAAATAATAGCTGAAATAGTGGAAAAAGCTGAAACTTGCAGAAATAAGCTGAAAGGATCATAACAAGCTGAAATTAGCAGAAATCAGTTAGAAGAAGCACAAAATGTTGTAGATAGCAGAAAGAACCTGAAAGGAGCACAAAACAGCTGCAAAAACTGCTGAAAGGAGCTGAAAGGAGCCATAAAAAAGGTTTAAATTTGCACAAAGAAGCTGAAGCAGAGCAACATGTGAAAGGAGCAGTAAAAGGTTGTGAACAGATCTAAAGATTTGAAGGATGTAAAATGAGCTCAGTTCTTTTTGTAAGAGGAAAAAAATGGCAGAAAAGGCTAAATATTTCAAAAAGCTAAAGCTGCACCAGTACCAAAAGTCATAGCAGGATTGTCCTGAAAGAGCTGAACGTTTTGATTCATGATTTGTTAAAATAGCTTGAAAACTACTGAATGCGAATCTCGCCCAAAAATGTATGGAAGATAAATGGATCACAATATTGAGAATGTTTCATAAACATTCACACAATAAATAAAATAATTTAATTGAATAGGAAACTGGGGTCAACAACACACGTAATGACATTTTTTACTGTTTCTTTAGACTGATTGAGACTAATTACATCTAAACAAGTTATGTTTGTAATGTACGCTGTAGAACAATGTGAACTGTCCCTCTCCTTTTGTAGATTTGATCGAGTTGAAGGTTTTACTGGAGGATGCGGAGGACAGGAAGTATCCCGAGAACACTTTGTTTCGTCACCTGAGGGAGATGGTTAAAGAAGCGGAGACGTGCTCCTCAGTGGCTCAGCTGCTGCTCAGCCGCAAGCAGAGGCACAGGTCTGTCCACGCAAGTGAGCAGAAAACCTTTAGTTTAGTCCAGGAGAAGAGAGAAGAAACTCAAGTGTGATATTTGTGTTTTTCCAGCAGCCGCCTTCGTTCTGAGAGTAGCCGCAATCGCACTAAGCTGACCGTGGATGAGCTGAAAGCCTTCGTGGGCCAGCTCTACAAGCTGCCTTGTATAATCAGCCAGGCGAGAGAAATCAAGGTTCGTCTCGTTTGTTCAAACATACCCAGCTAATTTCTTCATTATTCCTTTTTCTGCTCAGTCTTCTGTTAATGATAAACGTCTGTTTTATCCTACTGCTACTACTCAGGAGTTACTGGAGACTGTGGAGGATTTCCACGAGCGAGCCCAGGTGGCACTATCGGATGAGATGCCAGATTCCTCTAAGCTGCAAGAACTTCTGGATCTGGGCAGCGGACTGGACGTGGAGCTGCCCGAGCTGCCCAGGCTCAAACAGGAGCTGCAGCAGGCTCGTTGGCTTGATGAGGTGAGCTGGGAACTGGTTAGTTGTATTGTGGCTCAACATAAGTGCATAAAGATTAGACTCGGTTTTACTAAACCACTCAAATCAGTTTGTTTTTGCAAATAGTAAAGAGCACTAATGATTGCACACTTCTCCAGGTGAGGTTGTCAAACCGCGCTTCTCATGGAAACTCCCAGAACTCTGTGCATTAGATTAACTTCTAACAGCTGCAGCAGTTCTCTTGGTCGGAGACGTGACTCTTGTGCCTTCTTTATTAAATCCCAGGTGCGCGTCACCCTTGCTGAGCCACACCGTGTCACTCTGGAACTGATGAAGAGACTGATAGATTCTGGAGTGGGTCTGGCTCCACATCATGCCGTGGAGAAGGCGATGGCCGAGCTGCAAGAGATCCTCACTGTCTCAGAGAGATGGGAGGACAAGGCACGAGCCTGTCTGCAGGCCAGGTAATGTTTCACATCTTCCCCTAAAAACATCTAAAATGTACCGTATTTTTCGCCATATAATTTGCGGGTTTTTTGCATAGTTTACATACCCTGCGACTTATTTATGGATTTTTTTTCCCCATATTTATAAACCAATTTTTGGCTGAGAGATGACTGTTTTTATTCTTTCTGACTGAAAATGTTGAACACTACCATTTTCAGCCGCTAGATGGCACTCGAGTAGTATGGCATGCCGTTGTGTGATGTAATAGGTAAAAGTGGCTATTAATGACACAATTGGCTTGCCGTAACCTGCCACCTTTTGTTCTGCTCGCTGCTTGGAGCAGCTGTCAAATCAGCCTCATTTCACTGCGCCACCCTGACGAAATGAAGCTGATTTGACCGTGAAAGTGCATTTATTAAGTAAAAGTTCATCTGAGACACACCTTTGCTGTAATGTCGAGCGAACAAATTTTAGGTGCTTACCTTTTTAAATTTCGAAGAAATGTGCAGCGTTCCTCCTTCCTGATTTCCTCCCTGTTTGCGCGCTCCAGGAGCACCGAGGCAGCGAATACTTTTGAAATGCAGCTGATTTGACCATTAAAGTCCTTTTATTAAGTAAAAGTTTAACTGAGAAACACCTTTACTATAAAGTCGAGCAAACAAATAAATGTTTTTAGGTGTTTGTCGTGTTAAATTTCGAAGAAATGAACAGCAACTCGTCCCTCTGCATGTTCCTACTTTCGTGTATCGGGTTTTGAAATGCAGCTGATTTGACCGTCAAAGTGCATTTATTAAGGAAAAGTTAAATTGAGACACACCTTTTACTATAATTTCGAGCAAACAATTGTTTTAAAGTGTTAATCTTGTTAAATTTGTATTAAAATCCTCCCGTGCACGCTCCCGCAGCCACCATTTGGCAGCCAATTGATTTTTGGCACAACACCGGCCCACATTTCCGGGTTGTCAGCGGTGACGCGTAATAGATGCGACATATACAGTGAAGCAACGTATTTGTTTTATTACACTCTATTAGACATATCTGGACTGATGCGACTTATAGGGCGATGTGATACGTATGGTGGAAAATACGGTACTGAGGCAAACAGTTTCAGTTCTCTCACTTTTTTCATACCCTGCTTGTTTGTCCTCCAGACCTCGACACAGCATGGTGACCCTGGAGAGCATCATGCTCGATGCAAGGAACATCCCAGCCTATCTGCCCAATGTTTTGGCTCTAGAAGATGCCCTGCAGAAGGCAAAGGACTGGACCTCTAAGGTGGAAGCAATCCAGAGTGGAAGCAGCTACGCTTACCTGGAACAGCTGGAGAACCTCCTGGCCCGAGGTCGCTCCATCCCGGTGCGGCTCGACCCGCTAACTCAGGTGGAGTCCCAGGTGGCTTCAGCTCGAGCCTGGAGGGAGAGGACTGCTCGCACCTTCCTCAAGAAGAACTCCACATACACTCTGCTCCAGGTATTAATCTGAATTCTTGTTTAGGCAACTGCACATCTGTATGGACGTTTGAGTGAATCAACACATCGATTGTTACAAAAACTTAATTTTTGCCTCTTCTCTCAGGTTCTTAGCCCGCGTGTAGACATAGGCATTTACAGCAACAGCAAGAGCAAGAGGAAGCGGGTCAAGGAGCTGATCGAGAAGGAGAGAGGCAGCTATGACCCGGACACTTTGAGCGACCTGGAGGAGAGCCTCGAGGAGGTGCGAGAACCTTCAGCTGTTGTAGCTGCCTTCAAAGCCAAAGAGCAGAAGGAAGTGGAAGCAATTCACTCCCTCCGTGCAGCTAACTTAGCCAAGATGGCCATGGCGGATCGCATCGAGGAGGTCAAGTTCTGCCTGTGTCGGAAGACGGCCAGCGGCTTCATGCTGCAGTGTGAGCTTTGCAAGGACTGGTTCCATGGAGCGTGCGTCCCGTTGCCCAAGACGGGCACACAGAAGAAAGTTGGCGTGGGTTGGCAGAGCAATAGCAAAGACTCTAAATTCTTGTGTCCACTGTGTCAGAGGTCGAGGAGACCGAGACTAGAGACCATCCTGTCCCTGCTGGTTTCGCTGCAGAAGCTGCCGGTGCGTCTGCCAGAAGGAGAAGCTCTGCAGTGTTTAACAGAAAGAGCCATGAGCTGGCAGGTACTCCTGTGGTTTTATCAATCAACAATCTACAATAAATGATTTCTCTTGATTTTTCTTAAATACAACGATCTTCACTGCTCTAACCACTCTACCAGGACCGAGCGCGTCAGTCTCTGGCCACGGACGAGTTGTCCTCGGCGCTGGCTAAGCTGTCTGTTTTGAGCCAGCGAATGGTAGAGCAGGCGGCGAGGGAGAAAACTGAGAAGATCATCAACGCTGAGCTGCAAAAGGCTGCAGCTAATCCTGACTTGCAGGTAGCGCAAACATTTAAGGTATTATTTGTCTTGTAGTGTCACATCAGTCAAGAAAAAAACGCCCCCGTTGTTCAGATTGTAGTCGTGTTTGTTGCCTTGACTGAAAAGAGATTAAATATATACATCTGGTTTGATTTAAGAAAACAAATGTTTAGCTACATGCTGAAAAAAGGCTTACTTTTCTATCACTGCTTACTTTGTCAATCAACAAAACTTTATTTTTAAAATGCTTCATGCAAGAAAGAGCTGCACAAAATGCTTCACAGGAAGTAAAAACGAAACAAGTCAAAACAGCTTCAGTAAAAGTTTAGAACTGTAATGCGTTGTAAAAAGTTTATCGTATTTTTCGGACTGTTAAGGCGCATTAAGCGAAACAAGTTCATTTTGACAGATTTTTGAGCGCTGTGTACCACATAAAGTCGGTTCGAGGTCAATAAGCACAATCAGCATTAATACATAAGGTGCACCAGATTATAAGACTCACTGTTGATTTTTGAGAAAATTAAAGGGTTTTAAGTGCGCCTTGTAGTCCGAAAAATACGGTAAACAGTTCAGGTTTTTAACAACTTTACCCACCGGCACAGTGAGTATGGACATATTACAGCTAGAAACCTCACATTTGAGTCTGTTTTTGTTTGTTGCCCAGGGCCACATCCAAACTTTCCAACAGTCTGGTTTCAGCAGAGCCACATCGCCACGCCAGTGTGTGGACTACGATGACGAAGAAACGGACTCGGATGAGGACATCAGGGAGACTTACGGCTATGACATGAAGGTATGTGAGACGGCGTTGGTGCGATTTTAAGCATCTAAACCTTTTTCCTCATTCTTTCCCCTGGCGTTACACATCTGTTTGTCCAGGACCCAGGTGAGGTGAAGCCCTACTTGTTCTGTGACGAGGAGATTCCCGTCAAGTCAGAGGAGGTGGTCAGTCACATGTGGCCAGCTGCTACTCCTTCATTCTGCGCCGAACACGCCTACTCGTCTGCATCCAAGTCGTGTGTGCAAAGTGAGCCCACGACTGATAAATAACTATAAAATATTCAATCCATGGTCTCATCCTGACACTCACAAAATATTTTCAATCCAGATCTTGGCACACCCAGAAAACAGCCCAGGAAGACCCCACTGGTCCCTCGAAGCTTAGAGCCGCCAGTTCTGGAACTGTCCCCGCAGGCTAAGGCCCAGCTGGAGGAGCTGATGATGCTGGGAGACCTGCTGGAGGTGTCCCTGGATGAGACCCAGCACATCTGGAGGATCCTGCAAGCAACGCAGCCTCCCTCTGAGGAGAGATTCTTGCAAGTCATGGAGGTAGGGAGGTCATAACGTTACGCAACCTGATTGTGACATCCTGAGAATAATTCTGTTTGGTGCCAGTGATCTAATTAAACACAAATCAAGTTATTGAGAAACTTGCCTGTATTAAATTTGGAATTTTAAATAATTTATATTTTTACTCTTTTTATCGCAGCCTGACATTTCCCTGATGGAGAAGCCTCTGAAGATCAAACTTAAAGATTCAGAGAAGAAACGGAAACGGAAGTTGGAGCGAGCCGAACATCACCACATGCTAATAGCCGCCGCCGCCGGCTCCTCGGCCATGGGAGACATCCGACTGTCCAAGTCCAAAGAGCTGAAAAGGGTCGGCCTCGAGCTCTGCCTCGGCAGCAAGCCCAAGAAGAAGAAGCTCAAACTCAACCTGGAAAAGAACCGGGAGATAAAGCAGCTGGCCAAACGATTAGCCAAGGAGGAAAAGGAGAGGAAGAGGAAGGAGAAGGCAGCCGTAAAGGCGGAGGCCATCAAAGAGGGCTTTGAGAAAAGGAAAGAGAAGAAGATCTTAGACATTCCCTCCAAGTACGACTGGTCGGGGGCCGAGGACTCTAATGATGAGAATGCTGTGTGTGCAGCGAAGAACTGTCAGAGACCATGTAAAGACAAGGTAAGTACAGAACTTCTCTTTATTATCTTCATCATTACACATCCGCACACGTTGAAACTTTCTGCAAAACCTTTGCGTATAGCTTGGAGTGAACTCTGTCTGTTAGCACAATATTTTATGAACCACTGGACAGATTTTAATGAAGCATTGAGGACTTAGTCATTAGATGTACGTCTACAGCCGAATGAGTTTTGGAGCCAATTCAATTCAAGATGGTCGCCACAGCCAACTAATCTTAGGAATCATAAAAATGTCTATAATTCAGACAATTCTACAGATATTTTGCTTGGATTTACCTGTCTAAATAAAGGTTGAATGAAAATTTTAATTTAATTTAAACTGAGTTTGTCTTTTTATTCAGTTTTAAAGGAATTTGTGTTATTTCTAAGGTAGAAGTTTCAAACATTTATTAATTTTGTATTATTTTTCAATGCAAAATCACCAAAATATTGACAGAATTAAAAAAAAAATCTCTCTTTTTGATTTTTATTTTTTTTTTAATTACTGGTAAATAAATTCCCCAAGTCATGCCAACTCTTCAGCGCCCCCGGTGAATGGATTATTGTTTTCCTTTGAACATAGTTAATGAACGCAACTCAAGCTTCTCAGATATCAACAGCTGATTGTGGCCCTGGAACACCTTAAAGATAACTAGAGAAACTGCATTTCCTGGAAAAATGCAGTGTGGATGCTTATTTCAGAAGAACTTGCTGAAAAACAGCTGAAATTAGCTAAAAACATGCTGAAATGTAGTTCAAATGGACGAACAAGCCTAAATTAGCAGAAGCAAGCAGAAAGAACACATAATTGCTGAATTAGGTTGAAATTTGCAGAAATGAGCACAAAATTAGGAAAGTAGCTAAAAAAAATCTGAAATAAGCAAATAGCTAAAAATTAGCTGAAAAGACAAAAAGAAGCTTAAACTACCAGAAGGAAGCGGAAAGAGCTGAAATGAGCTAAATGTGGATAGCTGAAGAAGCTAATATTAGCATAAATTAGCAAAATATTTGCTGAAATAGCAGAAAAAGCTGAAACTAGCAGAAATAAGATGAAAGGAGCATAACGAGCTGAAGTTAACTAAAGAAACGTGCTTAAATGTAACTGAAATGGATGAACAAGCCTAAATTATCAGAGGAAAACAGAAACAGCACACACTTGTTGAAATTTGTTTAGACAGATAAGAGCACAAAGGCTAGGAAATTAGCTAAAAAAGCTTAAATTAGCACAAAAAAGGCTAAAAATTAGCTGAAAAGGCAGAAGCTTAAACTACCAGGAGGAAGCGGAAAGAGTTGAAATGAGCTGAAAAGCTAAAATTAACATAAAACAGCTGAATAGTAGCTGAAATCGCAGAAAAAGCTGAAACTTGAAGAAAGGAGCTGAAAGGAGCATAACAAGCTGATATTAGCAGAAACAAGTTAGAAGAAGCACAAAAATGTTGTAGTTAGCAGAAAAAAAATCTGAAAGGAGCACAAAACAGCTGAATAAACAGCTGAAAGAAGCCGAAAAACGTACAGAAGAAAAATGGATCACAGCAGTGACTCTCTCTTACTCATGACGCATTAATGATGTAGCTCAGACTGCTTTCAGCCGAGTTAACCAGTGCCCACTGCCCAGTCTGCCCACTGTCAGTGAAGGAACAGCCAATCAGAGCCGAATAACCGGTCGGTCTCTGTGTGGAGTAGACAGGATGAAACTGAATTAGTTTGCAGCAAAACCCATGTTTCTTATCTGTATTAAATGCTGTTTGTTTGCTGGTGAAAACGTGTTTTTTATTAGACACATGGGTCTCATGACTGAATCCAAACGAAGCATGAGACCAAACGTGGGTGAAGAGAAAACTGAAGATATTATCTGATGATTTTCTCAGTTTGAGAACAAATGTCAGCTTCATGTTATTCCTTGTGATGCTAATCTTCTCGCTGGGATCCGTGTGTGTTTCCAGGTGGACTGGGTCCAGTGCGACGGAGGCTGCGACGAGTGGTTCCACCAGGTCTGCGTCGGGGTTTCCTGCGAGATGGCCGAGACCGAGGACTACATTTGCTTGGACTGCTCTGAGAAAGCGAGTGGGGGAATAACCGTGGAGGAGGAGAGCGTCGTGGTGCTGTCGGCGTGCGGCGTTGTGCAGAGCGTGCACTCGTCCGTGCCCTCGTGGTCCTCTGCGCCTCACGTCAACCCAGCGGCTTCCATTCTGCAGCAAGACCCTCAGCAGATCAGCTAGCACCGAACGTCAGGCGAGAACTGAGCGCCCGAGCGTTGTAAACATCTGGAGAACAAAAAACTTTGAGACCGTATTTCTGTCTGGAGTGTAAAAGCACAAGAAATGACTTGGAAAAAGAAGTTTTAAACTGCTAACGAGTGCAGAGTTAGTCCTCCTGTCAACATGTAGGTGTAGAAACACCCGAAGGCTCTTATTTACAGTCCAACAAACACACACTGACTCGAGCTGTTGCTTTCAGCCCAGGATGGTTGGCCCCTCCGACCTTTGACCCCTCAGACACTTAACATCTCAGTACGACTAGGAAACCAAGTGGATGTAATGTAGTACAATTATTTATAACGTGTATAGTTTTTAAACCTTTAAAAAATGGATTGTTTTCGTTTTTCTCACCTTTAATAAACAAATCCTAGTCAAATATTTGATTATGTGCACTTTATTTTTTAATCTAAACTAAATTTTAGTTGTTTTTTTGTTTGGTGCAAAATCACAAAGATGGGAAAAATATGTGTATTTCTGATATTAATTGTTCATGTGCCTTTCAATGAAAAACTCTGGTGAGGTTATGACCGACATATTTAGTTTAATTTAATTTAACTTCTGAAATCATTGCTCTTTCTTTTTCTGTTTTTTGTATTTTTCCGTACACATTTTACAATATCTGCAACATTTAGCAAAAATTTAGCTCATTTAGGAGCTGCAACTTTTGTTTTTCTAACTTTTACAGAACTTTATTTGCGATTGTCTTCCCCACAGAAATACATTGAGATTTTTTTATTCTTTCAAAAACTTTCTTTTTAAGGTCTGCTTCAGAAAACTGGCTCCATTTTTGTCTTTTTGTGCTACTTTTAGCAACGTTCTGCCACTTTAAGCAAGCTTTTAGCTACTTTCAGCTTTTAGTTAGCATTTTACTACTCTTGTTAGCCTTTTGCTTCTATTTGCTTTAAGTTACTCTTCAGCTTCTATTCGCCTTTAGCTAGTCTTTTGATATTTCAACTTTTTGCTACTTTTAGCTAGCCTTTTTCTACCATCATTAGCTAAAAGCTAAACTTTTGCTGTTTTAGCCATTTTTTTATCACTATGCTTTTATTTATTGTTCTTTTTGCTTTAGTACAGTAGAATTCAACCCCTTTTAGCTTTAACTCTCACTTTCAGCTTTTTTCAGCATTAAGCATTCACACAATTTCTGCTTTTTTTCAGCCTAACTGGGCACAGTTGTGCTCTCCACTTCTGGTAATTTAAGCTTCTTTCTGCATTTTCAGCTACTTTAGAGCCATTTTTAAAATTAATTTCAGCTTTTTTTAGTTAATTTACTTATTTGTGTTCTCATTTCTGCTTATTTAAATCAAATTCAGTAGATATGTGTTCTTTCCGCTTTCTTCTTGTAACTTGGGCTTCTTTTTTCCATTTCGGCTGTTTGTCATCAAGTTCAGATTCACAATTTTTCTAGTTTATTTTAATTTCAATCATTATGTAACACTCAGCATTCATTTCATTTTTGCTTCTCTAAAATGTGTTCATTGTTAATTCTGTTTAGTTTTGTCTTGGTTTTGTAGTTTTCCCTCCACGGAGTCGTTCAGTACCGCTCTGCTTCAGAACCAAAGAGGATTGTGGGTGAGGATCAAGCTGCTGCCCTGACCCAGCTGGAGGAGCCCCCCTCTGTCGCTCCACATACAGTAAGAGTTACGCTCTCACCAGAAACTGGATGAATAAAATCAAAACTTTGCATCGCTAACTTCATCCTCAGCACCTGCTGTTGATCGTTTCTTATCTTATTCTCAAGAAAACTTATTTTATCCAAACCTGCTTTTAGATGACCTGACGGACCATTGCTATCATATTCTTCTCCTATCTTCATGTAAACTTTCTTATAGTTCACATTTTTGTTGTTTGTTCAGCAGAGGAGCCGTATCTGCAGCTGAAGCTGACCCGAGACAGAGGTCAAAGGTCATTCTATGTTATATATGCAGTCGGTGATGTACTTTGCTCAGACTGGGGCGGGGTAGATGAAGGAAAGCAGAGGCTGGATTAGGTTTAGCGTTACAAAGCCCCGCCCCTTTTTGCCAGCCATGTTAACTAAAACTGGAGCATTTCTGCGTGAAACGCCACAAACTGCTTCAGCTTTGAGGCACACAAGAGGTCTGCGATGAAAGGTGAGCTGATTTGTTTCTGGACGCAGGTTTTTAATTCACAAACATTTACTCTGACGTTGGGGAACTGCTCAAACTGACCTGCTGATTTAACCCTCAACTGTCCCCCAGGAGCTAAAGCAGGCCTCCATAATGGCAACAACCGTGTCAAAGACATGCTGCCCACCCCAGAAGAGAAGATGGAGGAGCGAGGTCAGTGGAGCAACAAGGTAGAGTTCATTCTGTCGGTGGCCGGCTCCATCATCGGCCTGGGCAACATGTGGCGCTTCCCGTACCTCTGCTACAAGAACGGAGGAGGTGAGTGACACTTTAACATCTTTTCTCTATTCTTTCCATTTTTCTATGAGTTCTCATTAAAGTGTATGGAGTTTAAAAAGTACATATTCATTCATTCAACCTTTATTTATACAGGTTAGTCTCAAATATAATAGTAGAATATATTTATAATCACACATAATAATAGAAGATCACTACACATATGGAACTGAAGTGACTTTATTCCCTGCCTTGTTCCAGCATGTCCAGTCCAGACGGGCTTTGTCCAGATATGCTTTTGGCATTTCTGTTAAATTGGATCCCCCTCCCGTCTCTTTCTGTCCCTCCAGGGGACAGTAGGTCATGGTTCAGGGCTGAGCGGGGTCAGACAGCTGTTGTTGCTCCTTGCTCACAGCAGCTGAAATCTGAGCGCGCCGAACGTCTTTCAGCCATCTGACAAGACCTCGTCACAGACGCTGATTAACAAAAAAAATAAAAAATAAGCCGGGGCAAAAACGTCCTGTCTCAAGAAAGGATTTTTCTGCGTACACAAGCACTTTTACAGGTATTTGTAATGAATAATCGCTGTGACGTTCCTCGTTCTCCGCTCAGGGGCTTTCCTCATCCCGTACCTGATCTTCCTGTTCACCTGTGGCGTTCCCGTCTTCTTCCTGGAGACCGCACTGGGTCAGTTCACCAGTCAGGGAGGCATCACCTGCTGGAGAAAAGTCAGTCCTCTGTTCGAAGGTGAGGATCACAGCAGAAAGACCGCCACGAGCCAAATGTGGGATTGTTCTGAGCAGACTGAACTGAGGCTGGGCTTAGGTGCAAGAAACACATCACTCAATGGGAATAATATGATTTTTAATCTTGTGAATGTTTATGAAGCATTCACACTATTGTCATCCATTTTTCTTCCGTATGTTTTTGGACTCAATTTTCTTCCCGCAGTTTTCAAGCTACTTCAACAACTCGTCTATCAAAACGTTCAGCTCTTTCAGGACAATCCTGTTATGACTTTTGATATTGGTGCAAGTTTAGCTTTTTTAAATATTTAGCCTTTTCTGCCTTTTTTTTTTCCCCTCAGAGAAAATGAATTGAGCTCATTTTACCGTACATCCTTCAGAGCTTCAGATCTGTTTACAACCTTTTACTGCTCCTTTCACATTCTGTTCTGCTTCAGCTTATTTCTGATAATTTACAAAAAATTTCAGCTACTTTCAGCTATTTTTTTGCTGTTTTGTGCTCCTTTCAGCTTCTTTCTGCTAACTACTACATTTTTGTGCTTCTTCTAACTTCTTTCTGCTAATTTCATCTTGTTATGCTCCGTTCAGCTTATTTCGGTAAGTTTCAGCTTATTTCTGTAAGTTTCAGCTACTTTGTATCTGTGTGTATGCTAATTTTGGCTTTTTAAGCCAATTTCACATTTTTGTACTCGTTTCATATTTTTCTGCCTAATTCTCCACTTGCTTTTTGTAATTTCAGCTTCTTTCTGCTTTTTTTAGCTACTTTTCAGCTGTTTTTATTTTTGTTGCTAATTTCAGCTTTTTTCAGGTAATATCCACGTTTTTATGCTCATTTCAGCTTCTTTCAACAAACGTGTTCTTTCTGCTTCCTTCTGCTAAGTTAAGCTTTTCAGCTACCTTTTTTTAATAGCATTTTTAGCTAATTTCAGCTGTTTCAGATAAATTAAAGCTTTTTGTGGTAATTTCTGCTGCTTTCAGCATAGTTAACTTTTTTATGCTCCTTTCAGTTTTTTTCTGCTATTTTCAGCTTTTCTTCTATATCCACTACTATTTAGCTGTTTTTGTGCTAAATTTAGCTTTTTCATCTAATTCCATTTTTTAAATCTCATTTCAGTTCACTTCCTTCTAGTAGTTTACGTTTCTTTCTGCCCTTTCAGCATGTTTTTAGATAATTTCAGCTGTTTTTCAGCAAGTTCTTACACTGCATTTGCGCAGGAAATGCATTTTTTCTAGTTATTATTATTATTATTATTATTATTATTATTATTATTATTATTACTATTATTAGGTTTGCAAATCCTCCCGGCTGTAAATCCTGATGGTGTCTGAGGTTTTTCTTCTCATAATCCAACGTATTTCAGCATCAGGTTTGTTTTTAATCAAGTGAGGGTTTTTATTTGATGCACAAAGGCTGAGTAGTTGTTAATTTATTGTGGTTTTTTTTACTTTTGAAAACTTTCAATACTTTAAACTTTAATATCTCTTAGTTGCATTTGTTTATGTTGTCTTACACAGATGATACGTCAACTTAAGCCTTTGTTTTTATTTTTAAATAAAGACTTTAGGTTGTGAGTCATGCAGGAATGTTAAATTAAGATAATGTATTATGGCCCTTCAAATGTTAAAGACTTTAACAAGTTAATAAAACAAAAGTTGTAGACAGAGTTATGTCTGTGCTTGTTTTGGTTGTTAAAATTCCTCATCGTGAATTAGTAATGAAACCCCCCAAAACGAGTGATTAATTGAGTTTAGGTCCAAGGAAATGAAAAGATATTCAAAAATGATTTATGTTCGTCTTTATAGTAATAAAGCTATGAAATAACTGCCGCCCAGTAAAAAAAATATAAAAATAATGACTTGTTTTCTCTTGTTTTGACGCTGGACGTCATCGACGCAAGATTGCAACGAAGATTCACTAAAGATAAAATAAGTCTGTCAGGATTAGAGGAGAGTAGTTAATACATCATATTCCAAAAAACAGTGACACGTCTCAGTTGGTACAGAAAGATACTGGGTAGAAGTTTTACTGGATTTTTACCTTAGATCAGCTCTGGTACAAAATCTGAAACTCTTTTAAATGTCAGACATGGTTTTATTTATCCACCACTGACAACAGATTTATGAAAACACAGTTTGTGATTTATTAGGGCCAGATAAGATGTTGACAAAGGCCATTTTTGGCCCTCGAGCCTTTAGTTTGACATGTGACTTTGTTCAAATTTGACCTAAAACCTACTTTAAAATACAGATTGTGATCTGTGACACGTTTGTTGCATTATTTTTTTATTTTATTGCACCTGCCAAGATGGTCTAGATGCAAAAGAGCATTAAAATGTTCTCTTTTCTTTAATTTAGCAAATAAGATAAAGTTCATGAATCACAACCTTTATTCTCACAAAGTAATAGTTTGAAAAGTAAAACTGTTTTAGAGCCGGTTCAAATCACCCAAAGTTTGTGAAACGGGTCCTACGGCTAAATCTGAAGCTAACTTTTTAGGTTTTTCTGCAGCCGCGTCGTCTTCTCTGACAGATTATGTCATAATTTCAGGAAGATTATGCATTTCACTTCACATCTAACGGTTGAAATATGTCTATTATCAGAGCTTAAACGAGTCTCATCATGTCCCCTGACGCTGACAGGATTATTGTGTGAATGTTTATGAAGCATTAGCATTTTTGTGCTATGTCAACAAATCCTATATTAAAACATGCAGCTAATTAAGGAGAAGAGTGCTATGACTTTTGGTATCGGTGCAACTTTAGCTTTTTGAAATATTTAGCCTTTTCTGCCATTTTTTTCTCACTGAAAATGAATTGAGCTCATTTTACATCCATCAGATCTTTAGATCTGTTTACGATCTTTTACTGCTCCTTTCACGTTTTGTTCTGGTTCAGCTTCTTTCAGCTTCCTTGTGCAAATGTAAACTTTTTTTCTGCTGCTTTCAGATCATTTCAGCTGTTTTTTTCAGCTGTTTTGTGCTCCTTTCAGCTTATTTCTGCTTACTACATCGTTTTTGTGCTTCATCTAACTTCTTGCTTCTTGTGCTCCTTTCAGCTTATTTATGCAAGTTTCAGCTTTGCCTGCTATTTCAGCTACTATTTTGCTGTTTTTGTACTAATTTTAGCTTTTTCAGCTAATTCCACATTTTTTGCACTCCTTTCAACATTTTTCCACCTAATTCAGCAAAAATTTGTTCTATCCACCTTCTGGTAATTTAAGCTTTTCTTTGTTTGTTTGTTTTTTTAGTTACTATTCAGCTGTTTTTGCTCATTTCAACTTTTTCATTTAATTTCCACTTTTTTGTGCTCATTTCTGCTTCTTTCAGCCTAATTGGGCAAACATGTTTTATCTGCTTTCTTCTGCTAATTTAAGCCTTTTCTAACTTCAGCTGCATTTTCAGCTAATTTCAGCTGTTTTCAGATAAAGTCAAGCTTTTCATGGTATTTTCTGCTACTTTCAGCCTAATTAATTTCGTTCTGCTAATTTTAGCTTGTATGCTCCCTTCATTTTTTTTCTGCTAGTTTCAGCTTTTTATGTCCTTTCAGCTACTATTTAGCTGTTTTGATGCTGTTTTTAGCTTTTTCAGGTAATTCCACCTTTTTGTATCTCATTTCAGCTCTTTCCATCTCCTTCTGGTAGTTAAAGCTTATTTCTGCCTTTTCAGCTTTTTTTTTTTTTTTGCTAATTTCCTAAGTTTTGGGCTAATTTCTGCTCATTTAAATCTAATTCAGCAAATATGTGTCCTTTCTGCTTTCTTCTGCTAAATTAGAATTGTTCTTCCATTTCAGCTACATTTCAGAATGCATTTTAGCTAATTTCAGCTGTTTTCAGCAAGATCTGCATTCACACTGCATTTTTGCAGGAAATGCGATTTCTCTCGTTTTTATCGGTTATTCAGGTGTCAAAAGAAGATAAAATGATTCATCAAGTTCTTCTTGTCTGTGATGTTTTAGAAAATTAAAAACATTAAAATATCCTAAATAAAGTGGCACCTTTTTCTTTTTCATTGTATTTTTATCCTTTAATAGCAGAAGTGGCGTGACTGCCATTTGGTCATCAGTTTGACAGATTACTGCAAGTTTTTTTGTTTTAATCGTGCAGGTCTTGGTTATGGCACCCAGGTGATTGTGACCCTGCTGAACTTCTATTACATCATTGTTCTGGCCTGGGGCATTTTCTACCTCTACTTCTCCTTTTCCGGGGACCTGGCCTGGTCGTCCTGCAACAACACGTGGAACACGGGTAACCAACATCAGCACGTTAACATCCCCTGGATCTCTCTTCATGAGTGCAACATTGCAGTTCTTTCATTGTTCCTCCTCCTCTCTACAGAAAACTGTGTTGAGTTCCAGAGGAGAAACACCACCGTCAACGAAACGATCCTCCGTAATGCCACCTCTCCGGTCATGGAGTTCTGGGAGTGAGTCCCCCCACTCGTTAGCCTCCTCCTGACGGTGTTGTAACCGACGTGTCACGCTGCGTTTTGTCCCGACAGGAGAAGAGCGCTGAGGATTTCCCCGGGCATCGACCAGATGGGCTCTCTGAACTGGGACCTTGCTGTGTGCCTGCTCATCGCCTGGGCCATGTGCTACTTCTGCATCTGGAAGGGCGTGAAATCCACAGGAAAGGTGAGCTCTGTCCCGTCCGAGTCTGAAACAATTTGTCCTCTGTCTTTGTTTGGACACAGATTTGAGGCAAGACAGCTGGTGTTTGTTTTGGAGAGCTTTGTATTTGTGTTTTGAACTCTTGTGCACTTTGCTCAATATAGGTGGTCTACTTCACCGCAACCTTCCCTTATCTGATGCTCATCGTGCTGTTGATCCGAGGACTCACCCTGCCTGGTGCTGGGATTGGGATTCGGTTTTATCTTTACCCTGATTTGGGACGACTGGCTGACCCACAGGTACCATTACCCATAAATCTGGACCAAAAATAAAAACTCAAATCCAAAGACAAACTCCCACAAAGGGCCTTATTTGTTGCATTTCTCCCCCTGCGGAGGAGTCCAGACATCACACGGCTCACTGCTGGGGAGCTTAGTTTCTGCTGGGTCCATCTGCTTTGTCATCTTTTTTCACTTTCACCACTGCGACGGCAAACGACTCTGCCGACACGGAGCCGCACCAGACGAGTCTCGTTCTTCTGGGGCCAAGATAACCCCTTTTTTTTTAAACCACAGGAACTCCCCTGTTTGTGTTCAGTTGCCGTTTTTCTTTGTCTCTTTAAAAAAAAGACTTTTTGGGAAAACAAGAAATTAGACTGAAGCTTCGATACGTGTCAAAACATTGTCGAACTTTACTAAATGTGCCCTCTGCAACAAGCGGAGCACCTCCTCTGTGAATATAAACCATTTCAGACTGAACAGTCACGCAAAGTTTGGAGCCTGACCAGTACGGAAATTTTGGCTATCGCTAATACCGATATTTGGAGGGGAAGGTCAATAACCGATATATTGACTGAAACTTTTTACTTTGTCCACCCCAAGAATCTAAGTAAACAGCTTATTTTAAATCTATTTTAACACTTAAAGTCTTGAAACAGTCTTCCTAACGTGCGTTCACATTTTCTATCCTCCACTATTCACCATAAAGTTATCAAGTGTGTTACAAAAATATAAATTAAACAAAGAAACACCCTTCCCTGCTCATTGTTTTAAACATTGTACAATTGTGCCATTTGCAATTAAGGACGAGGCTTGTTCCCAGTGTTTATACTGGAGCATAATGGGACAATTATAACCGATACGATATGTACCCCAACATCTGTATCGGCCTAAAATATCGGCCCTACTGATATATCAGTCGGGCTAGCAAGACCGTTTCAAGATGGCTGCCACAGCTAAACAACATCAGCCAACACAAAAGTGTATATAACTTAATTTTACAGATGCTGAATTAGAGTTTTAAAGTTTGTTGGTAGTAGCTGAACATAAGGGGGTCTTAATTTTAAACTCTGGCATGACAGGAAACAGATGATATGCTAACTAATAGTGTGAATGTTTAAGAATCATTCACTCTACTGTGATCCATTTTTCTTACGTACGATTTTTGGCGCAATTGTTATTTCAACAAATCATAGACGTTCAGCTTTTTCAGGGCAATCCTGCTATGACTTTTGGTATTGGTGCAACTTTAGCTTTTTGAAATACAAACCGGATTCCAAAAAAGTTGGGACACTAAACAAATTGTGAATAAAAACTGAATGCAATGATGTGGAGATGGCAAATGTCAATATTTTATTCGTAATATAACATAGATGACAGATCAAAAGTTTAATCTGAGTAAATGTAACATTTTAAAGGAAAAATATGTTGATTCAAAATTTCACAGTGTCAACAAATCCCAAAAAAGTTGGGACAAGTAGCAATAAGTGGCTGGAAAAAGGAAATTGAGCATATAACAAACAGCTGGAAGACCAATTAACACTAATTAGGTCAATTGACAACATGATTGGGTATAAAAAGAGCTTCTCAGAATGTCAGTGTCTCTCAGAAGCCAAGATGGTAAGAGGATCACCAATTCCACCATTGTTGCGCAGAAAGATAGTGCAACAATCCCAGAATGGTGTTACCCAGCGTAAAATAGCAAAGACTTGTAAGTTATCATCATCAACTGTGCATAACATCATCAAAAGATTCAGAGAATCTGGAACAATCGCTGTGCGTAAGGGTCAAGGCCGTAAAACTCTACTGGATGCTCGTGATCTCCGGGCCCTTAAACGTCACTGCACCTCAAACAGGAATGCCACTGTCAAGGAAATAACAGAATGGGCTCAGGAATACTTCCAGAAAGCATTGTCAGTGAACACAATCCACCGTGCCATCCGCCGTTGCCAGCTGAAACTCTACAGTGCAAAGAGGAAGCCATTTCTAAGCAAGCTCCACAAGCTCAGACGTTTGCACTGGGCCAGGGGTCATTTAAAATG